CGGTAATTCACCCTTCTCAATCCGCTCTCGAAACTGACGGTTATTTTCGTCACATTGGTTCTTCTCTTTCCAGTACTCTTGAACTTTCGGTTGTGAAGCTTTTACCATTTCCTCGAGATGCTTTCTCATCCGCCAATCTTGTTTCTCTCTTTCTTCCCAGTAAGCTTCTCTGGGAATTCTCACGTCTTGCGGTGACCTTTGTGGCGGAAGAACTGGTTTCCACATACCGTGCCGTCCATTCGGCCTGTAAGCGACTTTTTGCCACTCCATCTTCTGTTGTAGAGTGTTTGCCTCATCGAGAGAGTCATCTGAGATTTGCTGTGCCCCTTCGCTCTGTTTCACTGTTTGCTGCGCCATTCGCAGAGTCAAGTTACTTTCTTGACCTTTCGGTTCATCGGCGACTTCACCGTGACCTTTCTCTTTCAGTGACTCTTGAGTCTGCTGCACTGGCAATCTCTCGTGACCTTTCACTTCTTCAACTCTCGCTTGAGGTGACCTTTCGGTCTCTTGCGCTCCTTGCGCAGTCACGGCCTTTCCGTGACCTTCGGCAGCGTTTTCTCGGGTTACTTTCTCCATATGCTCTCGGAACTTCGAGTGGTGAACTTCATCATCTTCTTCTGCTGATGATCCGCCTTTCAGCTTTGCTACTGCATTCGCGAAGAGTTTCTTTCTCCTCGTCGTTAAACTCTCCGTTTGTTGTGGTGACCTTTCGGTCTGCTGTCTTTGCAGCGTCACGTTACTTCCGTGACCTTTCTTTGCAGTTACTTTCTGCGGTGACCTTTGGGTCTGCTGTCCTTGCAGCGTCACGTTACTTTCGTGACAATCTTGATTTGCAGTTACTTTCTGCTGTCCCGGATGCAGAGTTGAGGCCCTTCCGTCAACCCTGTTCCCCGCAGTTACTTTCTGCGGTGACCTTTGGGTCAGCCCCGGATGAGTCAAGTTACTTTCTTGACTTCCCGCAGTTACTTTCTGCGGTGACCTTTCGGTCAAATTCTTCCGTCCTTGCGGCAATCTTTTTAAACCCTTCTCTTGGCCTTTACGAGCCCCTTCGCTCGATTTCGAGTTACTTTCCCGAATCCTCGGATTTCTTTTCCGGGTCTTTGCGTTACTTTCGCAGCATCCCTTTCTCGCTGCGGTCCTTGCCTGCAGCGGAGCACCTTGCTCCTCTATATCCGGTGGTTTCGGTTCCGGACGATCAGTAGGCTCACCGGCGCCTACTGACCTTGAGCGTTTCCCTGGGCCATTCCCTGAACCGGCGCACCTTGCGCCTGACCGGCACCATTCGCCGGGGCGAAATTAAAGCCTCCGCCTTGCTGACCGAAACCGTTTCCACCGACGAAGCCGCCTTGCTGCCCGCCGAAATCGCCCTGGCCACCTTGACCGGCGAAATTGCCCTGGCCACCTTGACCGGCAAAATTCTGGCCACCTTGACCACCGTTATTCCACTGGCCTCCTTGACCAGCACCGTTCCATTGGCCACCTTGACCACCACCATTCCATTGGCCGCCGCCGTAATTTCCGCGATTTCCGCCGCGGCCTCTGCCTCTACCTCGGAAGCCGCCTCTAACCGGGCCATATCCGCCGTTTCCTCCGCCTTGGCCACCTTGACCGGCGAAGTTGCCTTGGCCTCCGAAGTTATCCTGGCCACCTTGACCTCCGTTGTTCCACTGGCCACCTTGACCAGCGTTGTTCCACTGGCCACCTTGACCAGCGAAATTCCCTTGGCCACCAAAATTGCCCTGGCCTCCTTGATTGTTGTAGTTGGCCTGGCCACCTTGACCGGCGAAGTTCCCTTGGCCACCTTGACCAGCATACCGTCCGCCTTGGCGTGATTGTGGCACATAACCATTTGCCATTGCGTTGCGCCATCCGCCATGATTATTACGCAGCATCAACCATTCTTCATACACGACCCGGTTGGGGTTCTGATTCCACGGTGTTCCCGCGAACGAGCACGCTTGCGTATAGTGGTTGCCGTACATGCAATTCTGGCATGTCAGCGCGTTATTGGCCACCCATCCGTCGATCATGGTGAACAGGCGCTCTACTCGCGACCCGTATCGTGGTCCTTGATTTCCTTGTCCACGGTTCGGTCGGAAGTTTCCTTGGTTTCCCCCGCCGCCGTTGAATCCCTGGCCAGCAAAGCCCGGATTCGCCTGAGCCATTCCTTGACCACCGAGCCCTCCATTCAGGGCATTCCTTTGCGCGTTTCCTTGTGGATTCTGTTTCGGTCTTGCCGCTTGCTGAGCTGATGCTTGGATCGCCGCAATCGCAGGCTTGGCTACTTCCTGAACAGCTGTTTGTATCGCCGCGATCGTCGCGTACGATACTTGACCTTCATTTCGACCGTTGCCAAAGGTCACTTCTTGAGTGCCTAACGGCGGAAATTCCGTATTGTATCCTGACGCCTGCGCCGAGCACGACTGGTTCTTTCGCCCATTCGCGACTTCTTCGATCTGGCCCGATCGGATGATCACGCAATCATCTTGGACTCGATTGCCTCTCGTGACCTTATACTTTTCTTCGCCAGTCGACCAGGTGCGGAAGAATTCCTTGATATCCATTGGGTTATGGAATTTCTGTGCTCGGAGTGCCTTATAAAGGTCACTGTCATTCTTACATCCTTGAATTAGGAATCCGATGGCCTGCTTCTCTGTAATGATCCGTTTCGATTTGAAGCGCATGATCGCCTGATAGAACTGGTCAAGCGTTTCTTTGCCAGCCTCGAACTTTCTCGTCATCGCTTCTCGTAAGGCGTTGACCCCTTCGTCACGATCGCCAAAATGTTCTTTGAACTTTGTCATCCATTCATCGACGGTTAACTCTTCCGCCTCTTCTTCGTCATCGATTTCTCTTTCCGCGTCAAACCATGCCTTCGCGTCCCCTTTGACTGCGTTGGCGACTTCCAGCATCATTGCTGCATCCGAAAGGTCATACGTCTTCTGAGTCTCCTTGACCTGACGGATCCAACCGAGTAAGGCTTCTCGGTTGCCATTGAAGTCAATCAGTGCGGATTTCCGGGACATGGCTCTCATGATCCCTCTGAATTCCCTTTCTTCGCGACGGAGTCGCTGTGCTTCAGCGTGGTATTCCGCGCGGTATTCTCTTTCTCGCCTCTCCTCTTCACGAGCTACCCTTTCCTGCTCGTTTTGGCGAACTCGTGGATCTTCATGATTGTCTGGCTGATGGTCAGATTTGTAGACGATTGTTTCCCTCGGTCCTGTTTCTTGTTGCCGGGGATTGACCCCACCGATCGGTCCTGAGTGCCCCTTCGCCAACTCAGTATCGTCGGTGACCTTTTCAGCTTTGACCTTATCTTCATCACGGCCGTCGCTTCGGCCAGTCCCCGTCTTTAAGGGAGCTTGGAAATGGAAGCTACCTTCGACGGTGTGGACTTCGCCATATCCAGGGGGCGGAGATTCGATTCGTTCCGGCTGTTGGATCTCAGTTTCCTTCTGTTTTGCCGAGCGTTTGAGAGTCTTGATTTCTTCGTCTTTTTGTTTGATTGTTTCTTGTAGCTGTCTCACGGTTTCATTTGCGTCCTTCCGCAGTTTCTCGTAATCGTTGTTTGCTTCGGTGACCTTTCTCATTTGCTCGAGGATTGTACTGGCCCTGTTATCAAGGGTCTTATCGAGATCCATTTTCGCTGCTTTTAGGATCTCAGCTTCTGCTTCCAATCGTGTAATACGATCCGCTCTGTCTGCGAGGGTCCTTCCTCTCGCTTGGCATTCTTCCTCAACTGCTTTCAGTTGGGCTTTTAGTTCCGTAATTTTATCATCCTTTTCCATTACGGAAGTAGCCAATCCGACTGATTCGTCGCTCAATTTGGCGATCTCTTCTTTTTGTTTTTCATTTTCTGTCTTTCCTTCTTTATTCACGACTTCTAGCACAGTGACCCGTTCGTCACACCGTTGTGCTTCCTTCAACCACTTCTTTGCTTCTTTCTTTCGGTTGTCGATTTCGTCATTGAGTCGCTTGAATTCAGTTTTTGTTTTTTCAGCCAGTTCAAGCAGTTCCTTTGCTGCTTGATCTCTCTGGCTTTCCGCTTCGTTGTGTTTCCTTTTCATCTCTTTTAATTCTGTTTGTAACGTGTTGACAAGGTCTTCGCGTAATTTAAGGTCATCCTTCAGTTTCGAGATGTCAGCCGTCAAGCTGGTGACCTTTCCGGTGAACTTCGTCGCATTTGCTAGAGATTCGTCACGTTTTTTCTCGGCCTCCTTGACCTTTGACTGTAAAAGGTCACGCTCATTTTCAATTCTGCTATTTCCTGTGACCTTTCAGCTGCTTCCTCGGACAGACCGTCTTCTTCTGCGATGAGTATGCCTTCCGCGTCTCGATCTTCGACCATTTTCCTTAGATCTTCCGCTGCTTGTTTCTGAACTTCAAATCTGACTTTCCATTGTTGCGCTTCGTCTTCGAGCGTGACCTTTTCTTGCTCCATCACATACAGCCTTGCTTCGACTTCGATAGTTTTATTCCGTTGTTCTCGAATGGCAGCGAATGCTTGGCTCTCCTTCTCGTCAAGTAACTGCTCGAGTTCCTTGACACGCTGCTTTAATCCATTCATTACGGATGTTTTTGGTGATGGTGACCTTTGGTCCCGGTCGTCGGCTCTTCCTGACGCCATTCCTTCAAAGGTCTCTTCTGGCTTGTCCTGGAGGGTCGTATCAAACATTCCTTTCGTTAAGTTTGCCTCCTTCATTGCCGTATGGAAAGACGTCTGTACCGTCGTTTCGTCTTCATCGTCAGTGTAAAACTTGTCACTTGACGTGGGGCTGGTACCGTTCTCTTCCAGCTGTTCTTGTAAGAACAGTGAGTTTTCCGAAAGGTCATCCTGTTTGACCTTTCCTTCGTCAATCAGCATGTCGCTGCTGACGGCGCCACCACCTTCGGTGACCTTTTGGCTGACTTCGGTATTTCCCTTCTCAGCTTGGTCCGCGTTTTCCTCCTTGACCTTTTCGGCCGACCGTGCCATTCCTCCGGTCTCGGCCTTCAAGTCATCTTTATTCTGTCCATCCGTAGCCGTTCTCTCTTCGGTGACCTTTGACTGGTCTACCGTGCCGTCATCGGCGTGCCGTCCAGAGTTTTGACTTCCATCACTCGAGCTCTCTTTGTTCAAGGTTTCCTTCAGAGCCTTTTGGTATGTGGCTTCTGAACCTTTGGTGTCCTTCCTCCCAAAGGTCTTCTGAGCTCGAGTTGCTCTTTCATGTTCCACTGGACGTGTGAACGGCTTTAATTTCCGCTCGTAAGGGTTTTCTGACCGTTCTCTCTGACTACCCGCTGAGACCGGTTCATTACCGTCTGTATCTTGATCCATGTCTTTGGGTTTATTGATGATCGGATAACTTGGACGATGCTAATAATGTTTCTGACACGTGTGTTAGATTACGTTACGCGACTTTTACACGTGAACAGTAACAAGCACTGGCCTAAAGGTCACTTCGTATCGTACGAGCTCAGTTGCTAAAGGTCACTCTGCCTTTAAAAGATCTAAGTCCTTTCTAAAGGTCACTTTTCTCTTCAGAAATTTAACTAAGTTCTCGTAAAGGTCTCTTCCTTCAGCAAAACTCAACTCAATAAGGTCATCAACTGTTTCAGCTTAACGCTTACTCCGACTTTGTTAAAGGTCACTTTTTCTCCCGAATTTTTCGTTTTTAAAGGTCACTATCAACTTCGGTCAGAAATGTCTAACCTGAGAATATTTTTCGATTTTATTAAGAAATCAACTTAGATTTCCTCAGAATGAACGTTATTTCTTCAGCTTTTAGCTTTTGCTAAAGGTCATCAATCTCGTCAAAATTTTTGGTAAAGGTCAACTTCTCGTCAGTTGGTTCAGAAAATTTTCTTGGTTAGCTACGTCACAATCTTGAGTGCCGTGCGCAAAAACTCCGCCTCCTTACGAAATCTCAGCTTCTAATTGGCTTACTTCTAAGCTAACTTTAGCTTTACGTCTGCGCCAATCACAGCGTTTATAAACGACCAATCAGGTGAGTTGTTTTTCAAATTATAAGGCAGAGTGACGTCACGTCAAAATCCGAAAATTTTCGCTAGCGCGCCGTGTGCAAAAGTGCCGCCTACTTTTCTGCTCAGCTCATCACCGACCAATCAGAATTGCAAATTTTACCCTTACGCCAATGGCGAAATTAATAAACGAAAATCTGACCTGATCGTCTCCGTGATCCAGAAATCGATCCTGCGCGTCCTTCCGCGAATCCTCCAGTTCCTCCAACGATTATACTGACTTCTCCTGGGCCAGTCGCTAACCCCTTCTGTCTCGATGCGACAGGACGCAGCGGTGCGTCGACCAAAAGACTTGCTGGCTGCGGGTCTTCTGTCGTGCCTTGACGTTAGCAACGACAGGGGCGCTCGACCTCCTTTTTGGGGGAGCGCGTATAATGTGTGTGCGCTCTACTCAGTAGAGACGCACCTGAAAACTCCACACCCGACAGCCAAAAGTGGCTTGCCCACTCGTGCCCCCCTTCGGGCTTCTGCCTCTTGCGGCGATCTTTTTCGGCGCTTGTGCCCCTCCGATCAGAGCTACTTCAGTAGCCTTGATCGCGTCAGGTCAGTACAGCGTGCTCTACTCAGTAGAGACACACTGGTGCTGATCTGCTGTCGAGATCCAAACGCTCCTTCGCCACTGGACCGTACGCGAGCCCTTTCTCGCGAGACTTCTTCCACACCTCGTCGGATGGACGGAAAAAACTCACAGATTATCCTGGAGAAACACGACTCTTGCTACCATATGAGCGTGGACCTGATGAAGGTTCACGCGTAGGAACAGAATTGACGGAATTCTGCCTACCAAAAGACTAGCAATGCTATAAATACGCCTACGCTACAGAAAGCGAGAAACGGCGTGATTGCTAGAAATTTATAACCAGACTAAATTCGATAGAATTTCCTCGTGGACAACTCCGCATTGCTGACTGCAGCAAGCGTGAAAATGTGCACGTAGCCGCCACACAGTGCGGGTGCGCGCAGAACACCATGCTTTCGCCACGCGTAAGGCGGGCGCGCAATGAATACACAACAGACTGCCAAAGCGAGGGTGTACGCATGTACGCCTGCGCTCACGATCATTCTAGCCTAATATTTATACGGTTGTATATCGGTTGTAGGGCGTTGAACGTCGTGCTGAAAAGATTGCAGAGAGTTGTCTGCAGTTCATCGACCGATCCGCGGACGATGTCATCGCGTTGGGAGATTTTGCGGCCGTTGGAAAGGAGATGCTCGAGATGATTCTATTGCGTAATACACTGTCGGCCGAGGAACATAACATCTATCTGGCAGTTGAGAGGTACATACGGCGGACGGTGCTGGTCCGGCCATGATTGTGCGATCACCTAGAATTCTTGTTTTTTCCATATAACAGAGGCAGCCATAAGTCGGCTGTCCGTGATGATCTCAGCGAGGGAGGGCGGTCAGATGAAGATCCTGTCTGTTGAGGAAATTCCGAAAAATGGCGATGGAGCGGAATCGAACCGCTGGCTACCGAGTGAGATCCACGTAGCACAGCCACTGTGCCATCACCGCTGTTGGCGAAGATCAAGATATTTGTGCTTGAGCTTGAGCCAACCAGGTAGGCGGCGGATGGGCGGCTGCTGTGTGTAAAGAGGATTCTCCTCTTACACCCCTGTTGCAGGCTTCGCTACGTCCTCGGAGCGAAACATCCCAGGATTCGGAGGATCCGCACTCCACGCGGTGGGGAGGCGGGGCCATACTGACTTCTGCAGTAGGCAGTCTGGTACCGTCCGAGCCAACGCTGCTTGATCTGCTACCATATAACAGAGGATATACCATGTTCTATGGCAGTCTGCCTGAGAAACGCCAGGTGATCGACATTCCGGATGTTCTTCCCGATGCGTTTGCCAATATGCTCAGGTTAGAGATTATCGTAACGTTGGTTATCAACATATTATGATTACGCAGAAGTACATCCTGACTGTATTTACTCGACTGCAGTTTCCTGTACACTGACACGGTCGATCTGCGTGTGGACGTCGTCATCCAGACACTGCTGTGCGCGGACAAGTACGAAGTGCCGCTGCTAGTGGACAAGTGCTGTGAATTCGTTAGCACCCAGCTGAATACGGAGAACTGTCTGATTTTCCTGAAAAATGTTGGTCAAACTTCTGTAATTGCTTAAATTAGTCCTATCCCTGTTATATCTGTACGATCATTCTAGCCTAATATTTATACGGTTGTATATCGGTTGTAGGGCGTTGAACGTCGTGCTGAAAAGATTGCAGAGAGTTGTCTGCAGTTCATCGACCGATCCGCGGACGATGTCATCGCGTTGGGAGATTTTGCGGCCGTTGGAAAGGAGATGCTCGAGATGATTCTATTGCGTAATACACTGTCGGCCGAGGAACATAACATCTATCTGGCAGTTGAGAGGTACATACGGCGGACGGTGCTGGTCCGGCCATGATTGTGCGATCACCTAGAATTCTTGTTTTTTCCTCTAGATGGGCGCGAAACGCATGCGAATCGAACAACTTGGATCCGTCCGCCGCCAATCGGCGTGCGATGCTAGGAGATGCGCTGTTCCTCGTGCGGTTTCCCCTGCTGACCGATACGCAGCTGGTTGATGGGCCCTTAAAGGTCAGTGCGTTAGCCAAAATATACAGCAAACCCGGTAGTAGTCATAATAATGTGCATCAGCTAATGTTACGCGAATGTTACTCGTACGATCACTCTCGAATTAAGCGTTGAATCTTGTCGAATTGCTCCAGTCACAACCTAAAATAGCTGAGTGTTTGCACATTAAATCTCAAAGTGGCGACAACGTTTCTAATACGGAGATCCTCTAAGTATACGGCGGTTAGCTTGTGTTCACTGTTGAAGCTGTGTATTTGCTTGCAGAGTGGCCTCCTGCTTGCGTCTGAGGGGTACGAGCTGTACAAGTACAAGCACACCCAGTCCGAGGTAAAACCACAGCTGCCGTTCCCCACGGAGCCGCGCACCGGCCCCATCCATCCCGATTTCGGACCCGTCCACCGTATCGGGGACATCAAGTTCCAGCATGAGGAAAAAGTCTTTATTAAGTCCAGTTCGCGTCCGGTTATCTGGACGCCGGCGATGATCATCGGCATCCGGCAGGGGGAAATCTTGTGGCGCTGTCTGACTCAACCAGCGGCTGAAGAGAGTGGCGACAGTGAACGGATCGTGCGAGCGGCCGTTGTCTTGAAGCCGGGCCGAAAGCTGCAGGTGGAAATTGAGGGAGAGTTCTATGACGCTACGTACCGCCGAGCCAACGGTGAGCAGTACGTTGTCCAACGTTATCCGCACTTACGAGAGATGTCGGTGGACTTTGCCCGTCTCACATTAAAATATGTTGTTCAAGGGAAAAGACGTAGTGCAGTCGTTAAGTCTTGAAATGTGAGCGTTACGTATGAAAATGGCGGTTTATAGTTTTTAAGATGCACTAAAATTACTAAAGGGTTTTAGTGTTTTATATTTTAAACTGTATTGCCTTTTGGCAAGTGATAGTATTGGTGCTGTGTTGAGTGTGCTGTGCCCTTTCACTCGGTAAATTTTTTTGGGTTTATACGACAGATGGCTATATGTATGGGATGGTTATTTATTTGAGAAATGCGCGATAAGAAATCTATTAGAAATCTATAAAGAATTGACTCGTTCTTCGTGTTTGATTATCCTTAATGTTTGTTATTCACAGCACAGTTTTCTTAAGCTAATGTGTGTGTTTTTTAGCATGTTTATTATGTTTGCTACGAGTACCGCTTATAGCCATAGTAGGGCTTCTAGAATACAGACGGTAACGGTTAGACACAGTAAGTTCAAACGTTGCCATTTCTTCGAACATTTCCATGCATTTTTTCCTTTTGTTTACGAGTATTCGGCGGTAAAGCCGTTATCAAATTTAAACCCGTTATACCCGTCATGATGCAGGCCAAGTAGTAGACGTACAAGAGGAAATTAGGGACATTTAGCACGGAATCCAGGTGGGCAATGTCTTCGGTGAATGCCGCATAGGCAATGAGTAACCTTTCCACTGCATGGAATTTCTCTTTCTGCAGCGCTGTTTTCTCCAGAGCGCATTTAAATGCATGCACAAAGATTGCAATGATAACGATTACAAGATTAATTAACATCTGGAGAACAGTCGTATGCGCGATATAGTAGCCGTAATGCAGAAAAGCAATATCTTTGCACAAAAGAACCACGTGGGATAGCAATATTGCTGCTCCCTGATTATCCAAAGAAATCCTATGGTCTCAGTTTCTTTCCCACTCAGAAACAAGGAAATAAAATTCGGGTACATGTAACTCAACCAAATACCAAATGCACCGAGATACGAGATAACAGTTATAATGTAAAGCCGGTTTTTGCTGCGTTCACTAAAGTAATTTGCGCTATAAAGGTCAAATTGTCTTATCACACTCAGCGCACCATTGTGCGATCAAATCGAATATGTTACAGGCGAACCACAAGAAGCCCTTTTGCACGCTAGTTAGATATCCGCTAACCAACATTTGGACCGGCTTGTTTTGTATCGATTCTGTCGTTGTAAAGTACATGTAAAAAGTTACACTGATCAGCACCGGAATCATAACCATATAAAGTATTATCCACAGCCTCTAGATAATTCTCACGATACTCCATAAGGACTTTGATGAGGTTTGCTGTCCAACGGAAAGACATCCGTATCCACAAATACGAAGAATATGATAGCCAGGAGCCAGACATAACCTGAGACAGCTTTGGCGGACACCCATTTCACCGATGTTCAGTAGAGATCATTAATTATTATTGATGTATTGTGACAGTTCAAGTACAAGCTCATCATTAGTTTAATGGGATTATAATATCTATATTATATGATACACGTACAGAGTACATCAGCTTGGAAAGGCAGAAAGAAATCCATTATACATGAAATAAGCAATACCACAAATTAATCATTAACGTGCTTCGGTAAAACTCCTGAGTTACAACATACAGTCCCGTTTCTTGCGCAAACAATTTCATTCTTTTGCCAAACACCGATGCAGGGTGCATCCTGCTTGCGCCGCAACTCATGCATTCCCATAATTTTCCCCCAGAATGGCCATTGACCTCCGTTTGGTCCGGAGATATTTCCTCACGGATCAGTATTGCTAGGATATGGCATAACACTGTATAAACATTGCGCCCCCCAACATGGGACTTCGTTCCCCCTGGACTAATGCTCCTTGTTTCTTCGCTAACTAGTAGCTTTATTTGAACATGTGTTCTTACAGACTCTTGAGGTGCAATAATACCGTAGCTACAATACATAAATGAAACGAGTAAAACATGAATAATATTCACGAATCCACATCAGCACCAAGATCAAATGCTTTACATAAACAATTTTGGTAGCACGAAGCAGTGCATATATGCATGCAAAACTGCAAAGCAATAAGCAAAGCCATGGACTTTCACTGCAAGATATACTCGAACTGAAAAAACAACTGCTTCGAATATTCAGGAAAAATTGTGATTGTATTTCGTCTTTCCCTATGGATGTTGGTAGCCGACATCTTCGACTTGAATCCGGCGGTAAAGTATACTTGCCAGTGTACTTGTATTACGCTGAGCCAAGAGAGAAATTTCCACATTTTTCCTGGAGAACTGCCGAACAATTACATATAGATTCCGCTGACTTCCCTTTCTCACCCAGTTCCCACATTAGCAGTGCATACGTGATAAGGGCACCAGTAAGCTGCAAACAAAAGTCCAAGACAGGTTTTATCAGACAAACACGCAACTTCAACTAAAATTATCACGATTTTCTTACATTCCAGTACGATGTGCTAATAGTTATATTACTGTACAAATTGCGACACATATGAAAACTTCCTACGGTATGTAACAATGCAACAAATTCAAAACCGGAAAATACTTTCAATTCCTTCTGCCATTCGACCGTGATTTTATAATGGTTTTCCCGTATGGTTTTAAAATGGTTTGTGAATGCTTGATGCATTTAGGTGACACTCACCGATAAGACAAATGTTCGGTCGATTAGGAAAAATTTTCCGAATGTGAACCCTACTTTTCTTATCTGAAGACTGGTAACGTAAAAGGACAGCCTGTAATGTTCCTTGCAGTCATCAATAGTGTGGAGGAATTTCAGCAACAGCGGTACCACAGCATCGGCCTGCAAAACATGCATCATTTGTTGGGTCTTATTGTCATGTGCCAGAACCCAAGTTTTCGATGCTCTTATCAGTCTTTTGTACGTGCTAAGTTCTGTTTGTACAAGTAAGCAAAACGGAATGCCCTAGCGCGCTGCAAAAACTACACAATAATCATGATTTTAGATTGATTACTTGATTGGCAACGGCGACAAAGCATGCTGTCATAACGATAATAATAACAGCCGACACTCCAAAAAGCTCCACCGTTCCCGGTTCAGTGTAGCTGCCAGTAAACGCGGTTATTCCCGAGAGTAAAACCAGGATGTAGTATACGAATAATAAGAAGCTTGGCAAACTCAGTAAATTGTCCAGTTGGGAGATTTCATTGCTCAGTGCCGTGTGGTCAGTCATTACTGCTCTAACTAATTTTATACTGTCCTCTTTTACTGCCATTGTTAAAGATTGGTTAATAGCGTAAAAGCAAAATGACACACTTATCATTATGATAACTAATAAGAGCTGGAAGAACGATAAAGAAAATATGTATACAAAGTTATGTGCAATAAATAGCCAACGTAAGAAGAGAAACATGGACGGATGGCTGTATTTAAAATGCCGGAACATCCATATGAATCCCGAAATATCGCTCCCGTCTCTGGTAATCAGTGTTTCTTTGAATGTTGGCCAGAAACGCCAAAGAAAGTTCGCAGTAAAAATCACCGATAGTAGAATCACTGAAGCATAAAACGACCGTTCGCTGCGTTTTGTGAAGTACTTGACGCCAAAAAGGTCAATCTTTCCCATTAAATCCATTATTTTATTGTGAGCACACATGGTGTACAGGCATAAAGTGCACATACCCAAGTGGCTAACTATTGCAAAAATGTGGCTCATCATATTCTGCGACGACACGCTGTTGTGCTGCGATACAGCCGCAATGCGGCGAATGGTATTGCAAACCGCGAAAAATATTAATATCACGGTATAAGCAATGATAATTACTCTCCAAAGAATTTGCCAAACACGTTTCCAAATGGATTCGTTTGGAAGTGCTTTTTGAAGAGAAAGACACCCATATCCACCAAACTTTAAAACAGCGGAATAAAAGCTGATAGTGTTTGCAATACAACCGCGTCGCTTGATATAGATACCCATTTTTTCTGCTCTATCTGCAATCGGGATAAATGAAGAGCTGTTTTGCGAGTCGGCGTCAAAAATAATAAGATCTATCTGTATGAGAAAACTTCTGCAAATAGCAGCGGCAACGGTTTGGTTTTAACTGTACTCGCTAAATTACCGGGGTAGACGTGACCTTTGCATTCAACTCGTGCAAAATCTCTAAGGAGAAATTCGGTGTTTGCGGCAGTGTTGTTCTAAAATTCTGTTGAGCTTGAGCTTTCAGAACAGTGTTGTAAACCCACTTGGGCTAAATATTTATGTACTCAGTTACGTAATAGTATGAGTGGAAAGTCTCGAGAGACGTCTCGACCGTTTCATCAAACATTTCCACTCTGGCACAAAACTTCGTAAGAATAGGTATTTATAAAATATACAATACAAGTTCGTAAAATATTGATTAAACTACCGTAGTATTAGGCACAGTGTAATGTATTTTTTAGCTGCATCAATCATCGTAGGATTTGCCAGCTGTTACTAATGGGCATGGCTTGAAGTTGAGATTATCAAATTAACCATAAATTTCCATAGGCGATATCAATCATAAGGTGTGTCGTAGCCCGCTCCCCAAGCTTCACCTTAATTTCCCCGTGGGGTTACCGTTACCTCCGTACGTTCCTGGGGAAATTTCTGTTTCCAGTTTTCCTCCTGGATAAATGTGACTGTAGGATATCTCGTATGAGACAATCAGTTAATATGGGTGACAACTGTTGGAACAATACGCGTCGCATTTCGGGATTGCGTTCTCTCTGAGGCGGTAGTTGTCGTGCTTTCTATGCTCACCATCTTAATTAAACATGTACGCTTACACAGTTCTGAAATACGAATAATAAAGGGGAATAATATTAACTGTTATGGTATCAACATGGAAAGCAAATAAAGTACGAATTATTTTTATTAAAATATTATTTTTTTACAGCAAAATAAAATATTTTTTTACATATCTGCAGATATGCTCGAATTCAGTAAACAACTGTTTAAGGGAAATATGTAAAAAAATATATTGCAAATTAAAATGGCGGCTTTTCATTGGAAAATTGGCCGACATAACGAGCTTATCGATCTCGAAGCCAGCGTTGGAGGTGCAATTTTGCCGGTTATTTATGTTGAACCGAACGAGAAGTTTCCACATTTCTTCCAAAGAACTGCACAATCTGATAGAGATTCCATTGACTCCCCTTTATCACCCAGTTCCCACATTATCAATGCGTACGTGATAAGGGCACCAGTAAGCTGCAACAATAGTCCCAGATAATCGCTAACAGGTAACACGCATAAATCTTTTTGTTGGGTACTTAATTGTTTTTGTATATCGTTTGTCCTGGTAATTTTTGGTTTAAAAAACCGACGCAAAGGAATATTTCACATATACACCGCAAAAAAAACGACGCTTCCAGCTTCGCTCTGATGCGGTGTGCTCGATTCCACCGCCTCATTGCATTTGCCTCCCGGTAAACTTATGGTTTATAGCCTGTTAGCAACGCTAAACACTTACCGATATGACAAATGTCCGGTCTATAGTAAAAAACTTTCCGAACGTGAATCCTACTCGGTTTGTCTGGAGACTGGTAATGTAAAAGGACAACCGGTAATGCTCCTTGCAATCATCAACGGTGCGGAGAAATTTCAACAACACTGGTACCACAGCCTCGGCCTGCAAATCATAGATTTATTTGCTAGACTTTAATGTCTTGTGTCAAACTCATAGATGCTCGTTTGCAACTGTCTGCAAAATCAGCAGCTTGTAGAAAAGAAAAATACAGTAGTGCTCTGTACAGTAATAATGTAATGGTGGGTATGCAAATACTGCACGTAACCCAATTTGTTCAAATAAATGCAGACGGCAAAAATTAAGCACTTCGGTACCTGGTTGGTGACGGTGACAAAGCATGTTGTCATAACGATAACAGTGGCAGTCGCAACTCCGAAAACTTCAATCGCGCCGGGTTCCCCGATACCGCCAGTGAACACCGATATGCCCACGAGTATGCACAGTAGGAAGTATATGAACAATATGGGACTTGGAAAGCACAAAATGTTGTCCAGTTCGGAAACTGCATCACCTACTGCCGTGTGGTCACTCATTACAGATCTCACCAGCTTAATGTTGTCCTTTTCGACTGCATTCTTTAAAGAACGTTGGATAGCGTAAAAGCAAAACGACACACTTATCATTATCGTCACCAAGAAGAGCTGGAAAAAAGACAAAGAGAACATATAGACGAAATTTTGAGCAACAAAGAGGCTGCGAATGCAGAGAAACGTGAATGGATGGCTGTATTTCAGATGCCGTAGTATCCATATGAATCCAGAAATATCACTCCCGTCCCCAACAATCAATGTCCCTTTGAAGATTGGCCAGAAACGCCATAGAAAGTTTGCAATAGAAACCACCGATACTGTAAATACTAAAGCGTAAAACCACCGTTCGTCGCGCTTTGTGAAGTACTGGACGCCCAAAACTTCAATTTTATCCATCAGTATCATAATCTTGTTATGGACACACATCGTGTACAGGCTTAAAGTGCACATACCAAGATGGCTAACAGTCGCAAAAATATGGCCCATCATGCTCGTCGTACTTTGCGGTGATGCGGTGTTTTCCTGTGTTATAGCGGCAATGCGGCGAATGGTGTTGCAAATCCCGAAACCTATCAGCAGCACAGTATAAATCATGATGATGACTCTCCAAAGAATTTGCAGAATGCGCTTCCAGATGGATTCGCCTGGAACAGCTTGAGGAAGAGGAAAACACCCATATCCAACAGCTTTTAAAACGGCTGAATAAAAACTTAAGCAGGTTTTAATACAACCGCGTTGTTTGGCTTCGAAATCCATGATTTTGAGTTAAGTACTTTGTAGTTTCTTTTGTGCTAGTTTGATTGTTGAACGGTTATAGCACTCCGTTAAATTGAAAAAAATAAATTGGTTTTACAGGGGTTGGTTTACGAATATAGAAAAGAAAAATATTAGTATCAAAATCTTAACTCAAACAGCAGGTATGAGGTTTCCACAAGTAGTTGTTAATTACTAAGCGATGGAATAGCAAAAGCAACCGTGACCTTTGCATACGGTTCGAACAAATCTCTAAGGGAAACCCGGCATATATACCACAGGATTGGATTACATTTCTTTTAAATTCAATTTTCAGGAAAACATCACACCGAAAAAGCAATTAGATAAGTAACCGCATAAGTTTTGCAGGCATCATACAGCAAAAACGCGACAAACCACGCGCTCATGGGATACTGTACTTAAATGCAAATGTAGTGATACCAGAGGTAAGTACATCAGTCTTTTTCTGACTGAAAGCGGTAAAAATGAGAAACGTCGGATGCAGTTACCCCTTGTCACAAAATTCCGAAGTTATTCATCTTCACAAAAACCAACTCTTGACTGGTATTTACTGTCATGTCGATGGACCATTGTGGTTTTGCATCGAACGCATGAGTTACGCACTGCAAAGCAGTTTTCTTCAGTCTTTCACAGTACAAGCATTTAGGAAATTGTCATTGTCAAAATTAATTTAGATACAAAATCAGTGCGTAAAATCTTTAACGTTTGAAGCTTTAAGCTCGGTGTTATAAACAGTTTCTACACTATGGCCGGTGTTTTGACATATCGTTAGGTTGCTGCTGGTCTTAATTGCATTCCACGTCGCGTTAAGCTGTGCACGGTGAAAGGTAGATTGTCGTCACATCTTCTTTGTACAAGATTTCGTATCCTCCGCACTTCTTGTTTCTGTACATGCATCGCCCAAAGATGTATGTTAAAACAACCGGCTAATGATGTGTACGCTTTCGGGAAAGGATTACAAGTACTAACCCTGAAACAGCTAAATTTTCCACAGTAATACGCTCCATATTTATCCGGTCTGCGCTGCACCAGATCCATCCACAATCGGGTGTGTATTCGATTTTAATTTGAGCAATATCGGCCACAGGGAAACGACTGGGCACTACTTCCGTCACAATCTTTCCGGCTGGTAATCCTTCGTCCTTCCTGCAATCAAAGCTTAACTTGACTACGAAGTATTTTTGTTGGTCATACGTACGACGAACAATACTATGCAGTCTGTGCATATTTTTCTAGTTCCTGCTATCGGAATTAATTTTCATATCTACGTATGTCCTTGTAACGCCCGTGCATTACAACACTTCGTCATTTTCTGAGGAGACAGAACAAGATTGCGAATATTGTACAAACACTTCAGACAACGACATGACCGCTTACGCTAGCTGTTCTACTGTTTCCACTCTACCATCGTTATGGACGAAGATTACTGTCAGACTGCCTTCGGAATCTTCTGATGTTGAGGCAATTTCCAGTGAGATTTTTACAGCATTTGCTAAAAAAAGTAGATCGGGGATTGAAAATCAATATCCGTGAATAATGTACGACTACTCAGTACAGATTGTCACGTTTGAAAAGAAGAACTGCGCCGTTGCGCAGTACGAAATACGCTTGCTTATAAAGAAAGCGCAGCACCCAAAAGACATATACACCACCCGTACATACCACAAAATCCGTCTGCGTCCTTGGTAAGCAGGAAGTGCTGTAGATCGGATTTGGTATGGGTGAAGAAAATGCCCATATTGCCGTCTGGTTCGGGATCGCACTGGCCTTCTTTAAAAGACTCCCAGTTTTCGCACGCATAACTGTGATGACTGCAGTGTGGATCCAAGGCTTCCATGATTAATTCGATGGCACGATGATGGTTGCATTTCACTGACTCCGGCATATCGCCAACTAAAAGCAGTACGACGTAAATGAAACGCCCCACAAATCAATAAGTTTTGCACAAAACGTTTTGGAAAACTGATGCAAATATATCAAGTATAACAGACCACGATGAGCCCTTACAATTAAAGGTCAGCAAATTGCCTAACGTTCCCCAGATGGCATGGGGACATCCAGGTTGATATTGTCCTCCGTTGGGATAAACTAAGGATCACCCAGTTCCGTTAATTAGGAGCGGCATTATGAATGGTTACTCACAGACTGATTAAGCTACAAAGTAGATTAAACTAGGTACAAAGTGATACAAACTCACTGTTTGCACCGGTGATCGCTCTTTTGCAGCAATGAAATAGCGAAATTAAGTTTTATCGTCGAGCTCTGGCGCACTTACAGTCAATGTCTCCGACGCGTTTGTACAATCCAAATCCACCATTGGTCAGCGTGGCCCCATTGGCGTGCAAGCCGGCAACAAAATCGGCGTCGCCACTGCTTAAAATTGCATCACCATGCCCATCTTCAAAAATCGGTCCAGCCGGGTCCAGACCGGTGATGCGACCAGCCCGCTTATGGCCGTATTGGACAAGTCGGTGTCCAGTGAAACCGGCAGCATGGGCTCCCAGTGAATATCCCACGATATGGAATTTATCTGATGTTGTTCCTGTATGTGTGCTGAAAAAAATGTTCTAGTTACCTAAAGGTCAATATTTTGGTGATGGTGATGCTATTGAAAAGGAATACCGCAATTATTAATTGTTCACTTTCAAATAACAGCAAGCAGGACTCATCCGATGGAATCGTTACGCAACACTTTTAGCCGCTACTCTACGATCATGCACATCTGTGTTACCGCTTCAGCGGATTAAACAGTGCACAGGGCTTGAATTTACACGTATGTAAGTACGAGTTGCATATTTATCTTATTGTTATCATGGCCATTTAAACATTTTGAAATGCAGTTTACTTGAGAGCCGCAATAAGTTTGGCCACTTGCGCTCCAACAACTTGGGTGTTGGCGGACGCTGCCCAGTAGTTTGGCGGCCTAGCACCGATGCTCCAATCGACAAAAATGTAATTTCCTTGCGGAATCTGCAGTCAAAACAAATCATCAACACCTGAGTAATACAGCCTTTCAAATCCAGCCTCGGCTTTAATTAATAATATTAAACGCTAGCCACACTAATTTAACTTTATTAGTAAGAACGATTCGATAAATTGTGTAATCGAAATAAATTTTATTCATTATGCGTTATTCCTTTTCAAACACGCTTGTTTCATATTTCCTTACTAAATAATTACGTTTAAAGCTAGAGTAGGTAATATAGTTGGTGTCACTATTCACTAGTACAGTTACTGTAACTTACGTACCGAGTGGAAAATAGCAGCCTGAAAGCTTGGTGTCCATGCCGTGTGCGGTCCATTGCCAAAGCCATGCATAAAGACAGTCGTCGGCCAATCAGCACGAAACGCCGACCCAGTCAACGTCTCCGGTTTATCGTACTGCAGCAGCTGTGGATCTTTCTGGCCAGCGCTCGTGTACAGCAGGAATTTCGTTTCCAGATATTCCGGTGAATATGGTAACATCCAGAAATTTCCGTAGGTACCGTTCTTGAAGAAACATCCTAAATCGCCGTAGCAGACATGATCATCGCGCGTAGTTGACCGCACGCCCAGTTTAGCTCGGGATTCCTCGAATGCCTTGGCGGCTTTGTATTCGGCAACCGAGGCCACCATGCTGCGGTACAGGTACATCGGATCTTCCACTTCATCTTGCGGACCAATGTGGATCGTTCGGGTGCGGTACGGAACAGCGCTCACGAAACAAAGCAAACCTGAAAGTTGATCAGTAACCAAAAATAAATTTTTAAAAATCACATACGACTTTATGTGGATGCAAATGGAGTTATTACAGCGTTAGAAAACCTTATTACCGTATTGTGACGCTTTACTTGTCACTTAACTTAAGATTATAGCGCTTGACGTCAGCCGGTCAGCGCATAGTCTAGCAATAAAATGCAACCACTTTAACGTGTACAATTCTGGTATTCGGGTTTTGATGGAGATCAGCTTACCTACCGAGTAGACTAAACACTAGAAAGTGAGTGAGCATTTTCCCAGATGGCAAAAGTAAAATGTAAATTAACAAAACATCAAAAACAGTCCAAATCAAACAGGCCCGGCAAAGTCAGATCGAAGCAAGTGCGTAGCTCCTCAACGTACTCCTATGGACATTTTAAAACTGGATATGTAATTAATTCTACATCCAACGTTCTTTATCTCGGTTCATGATAACAGTTGGTTTCCGTTATCATTTTCGTTCAACAAACGGTGTCGGTCCACATGATATACCATTTTGTGGACTGATTCCGCTCCATTAATATTGTTCGGATTATCGTTTTGATATGCCATAATCTTTTTAATACAATTCGCAGAATAATATTTCTTACCTCAAAGCATGTTATGTTGTGCTTGTCTGGTAATCGTCGTGCCCTGAACTTCCTAGTTCCTTCTCAAATAACGATTAAGCAAATTCCGATAAACAGATAAACAAATGATTGCGCGGCCTGTTACCCTATTAGCATAATTTTGCATGCGCTCTTGTGAAGTTGGACTCTGCCTTAGTGCCTTACAGGCACATTCAAATGCACATCCATTAGTTTCATGCACTTCTTGAGCTTATCCAGATTTCTGAAAGGAAACAGAAACCACGAGTTTTACGAAACGTCAACGATAGAGAAGATTAAAATTAACATTGTTTCAATTACAGTAAGTACCTCCAAAATGCAGCTGTAGTACGAAAGTATGAACAGTAGTGTCTGCCACTGTCTGGATGTAAGTAACCTTTTCCTTCTACTCCAGTGTCAGTACACAATGTTATCTAATACTGATACGAGTACTTCAAGTTTGCAGTGGCACTATGCAGTGATGCACAGTATGCTAGATTTCCACTCCCTAGTTCGGAGCTTTTGCCTGCTTGTGAGAGATGAGATAGCGCACATGCCTCGAAATACGAACTACCAATCGACAATGCCTGAAAAGCACATATTATATTTTGACTGACCACAAACGTTTATTGTTCAGCATGAAATGAAGTACTAATACTAGTACCTTGCTAAAACCAATCGATAGCTAAACTCTATTAACAGAAGATGGAACTTCGAACACTGTACAAATCATTAGGCACAATATTGCAATATCAGCATAAAAGAAAGTACAGTAACTGTAAAATCTGCAAAGAATCGAAGCTACATAAAACTGCAACAATCATCGCACGCGGCACATCTACTGTGCCCAAAGCCGGAGCAAATCCTAAATGTATTCAACATAATGCTAACCATAAAACTTAAAAACAGCTACAATACCGTTATAAAGATACGAAGCATAACTGCAAGAACAAAAGAAAAACCAAAGATGCACATCATAACCTGCCTACCCGGGATACAAAACCGAAACGCCACAAGTAAATTTACAATTCCTTATCCTCCCGGCAGCTTTAGAGCCAGGAACAGCGTGGCCTCCGGGCGGATATTGTAGTCCTGCAGCGTCCGGTCACCGACCAGCTCCTTCCCGTTGAAGATCAGGCGCAGTGTTTCATACGGGAGTCCTTCACGATCATGAACCTTGCGCTTCACACTGGCTATGGTGTCCTCAGCGTCCGCAATCAAGCTGATGGATTTTCCCGCTGCCAGGGTCTTGATGAAGATCTGCATGCCACCGCGCAGACGTAGGACCAGATGAACCACAGCGCCGGCATGCAGGTTATACTGGGACAAGGTACGATTGTCCTCGAGCTGCTTACCTGCAAACGACAGAACGATCAGTTTCGCGTAAGGTCAAAGCTAAAGCAGTTTACAAGACTACAGTGTAATGCACAGGAGATAGAAGGGAAGAACCCGTACTACCCGCTTAAGTGAAGCATATCAGTGTAGACTGTAGCACCCGCGTAAGTACCGCTATCAGTTTCGTATGTAGAAGTTAAACAAGTAATATTATAATTTATTATTATTTCCTTAACTACAATTACTACATACACAAATGCTTAACGCAAATCCCTACTAATATATCACTACTAATATTATATTCCTACTAATATATCATGGCGTTAAACATAATTTTACAAGAACCGCTACACCAAGCATGTCATACGGAAACCAGATACTTTGTAAAAACGAGAGAACTGGCCTTGCGCAGGTTGCTCATATCCAGTCAACCGACAATAAGTCAAGGGCAGCAACGCTAGCTGCCAACGCAAAACAGAGACCTAATTCGTAATTTGGAATTCGTTGCGATTCCTTATTTTCATACTAATAAACCTTACCATCGAAAATCAGACGCTGTTGGTCGGGAGGCATATACAGCACATCTTCGATTTTCTTTTTCATGATTTCCACCGTGTCCGACAGTTCCACGTCCAGCGCGACGGTCTTTCCTGTAAGAACCTTGATGTATATGAGCATGCCTCCGCGTAGACGCAGGACCAAGTGGATGGTTGACTCTTTCTGGATGTTGTAGTCACCCAGAGTGTGTTTATCTTCCAGCTGCTTTCCAGCAAAGATCAGACGCTGCTGATCGGGAGGGATTCCTTCCTTGTCCTGGATCTTGGCCTTGACGTTTTCAATGGTATCGGCAGAATCCACATCCAGAGTGATGGTTTTCCCGGTCAACGTTTTCACGAAGATCTGCATTTTGTCGACGACTAACGAGAACTGAATGGAAAAATCAGTAACCCGTATAAGTATAAAATTATTAAACAAACTGGAAAGTGGAAACCGTATGTATAAGTAATCGAACTGGAAACTCTTGACTGACTGGAGTTCGCCGCACAATGCATGAAACTAAGTACCTGCATCAACTTGCTTGACCAAATGCTGGTTTCAGAGAGCAGTCACGCGACACCTACAAGCGCAAAAAAGCCGCATACAGGGAAACTAAACGAAGGTCGTCCAATCGGAGCTGTGCTTTTTATGATTCATGGAGCACGTACACTTACTTATACTTATACTTATACCATACTTCGAAGGACTTAGTCATAATGCCAGCGTTACCGGGTTTCTACTGGGCTTACATACCAGGGTCGGTCGGTTCTTTACTCTGTACGACACTAATGTGGCCAGTACGGCAGTTTCTGGAACCTTCTGGAAAATGATGTCAGACGAGCTGTTGGCTTGCTAGATACAGTACTCGTACTTTAGAGTGAGGTGCTACTTCGGATGTAGGGACACCAGTGACCAGAAATCGCAAGAGTAGCGACCCAAAAATTTCACAGTAGTTTTATTAAGTGTTCTTATAGTGATATCTGCAGCACTTTGTAGCATTCAGAATTTTAGAGTTAGGGCAGATCAGAAGTTCAGCCCTGCTGAGGATAATGTGCTATACTGTAATTGTAGGACTTTTATATCTGCGCTCTAAAACTGTCAGACTTACGCATCACCCATTCGTGACCTTAGAGTTGTTTCTGGTACGTACATTAATTCCCGGTTCCAAAAGCCTTTTCAGAATGATCATTTGAGACCAAAACTGAATAAGGATGTGCTGCGCCTCTTACTTAATTCTCAGGGCTGAGTTTAGCGGATTTACGCAGGCGTCATTTGTAATACAAACTGGATAATTTATTACCCGAAAAGGATACCAAAATTTGTTTTCGTGTCAGTCGTTACTGAAACTGCAGCGAGCTGATATTAAAACAGTTGTTAGTCGCGATTAGAAAGCAGCTATTTTCACAACAAAAAAGGGTTCCAAATTCTGATACAATTCGCATGCGAGGTTCCAATTTTTGATCCAATACCGTGCACAGACCAGAATGAGCGGTATTCGTTTTGCATGCGAACTGGTGTTGAAAAATCGAGATTTTTGGAACCAGGTAAGTTGAATTCTGGTGTATTGGCTAACTTATTTTTAGCGTTATGATGGAGAACATTAGTCGGAAAATAATAAAAAGCCTTCGATTGGCGCTATCATTGCGGCTTACAATCACCTTTTAACTTTTACGTAAAAAGCGAAACACCTCGACGTACAACTTTATTGCATAACTTTCCGTCATCGGTTGTGTGCACAGTCGTGGTACATGTACATATCGGTTTATGCTAACCTCAAAATTAATATACGAACGATGAGTATCTTTGAGAAGGTATGCCGGTATAGAGGTATGGAGGTTATTATTGCGAAAATTCTGCCTGCAACCGAGCGGTGTCATAAAGCGAGAAAATATCTCTACATAGGTATTTTTATTTACGCATTCAATCATCAAAAACGGGAAACATCTAAATTTTGTAAACATGTCGAACGGCGGCAACACGAGACGCCCAACATAATAATATTACTACGTATATACAAGTATCACACCAAGTAACCGATGCGAGGTCATAGTCACTTAGGCCTCGTCCCGAATTCGAAGCGAATCTCGTTGCGATACAGCAACTCCACCTCGCGAGGTGGCTTCGCGTACCGTATCTGTAGGCGTGGCCACTGCGTACAGCCACCTCGTGCGGTTGAGCAACCGTACCAAAGCGAGATTCGCTTTGAATTCGGGACAAGGCCTTAGATTCTCATCGGCTTTCATTGTTGCGTGTTATCAACGGACAACGGTAACAACATTCGAAGTTCGAGCATGACCCCGCCAGTACAAGTGCACGTAATGTTCCTGACATTTAGCAGTAACGTCCAGCAGCATTTTACATTACTCAATACCACTATCAGAATTGCAAATAACATGTGGTAACTTGCAAATAATTGGAGATGATTATGCAATTCATGCTGCACTTATATACATAAATTGTACAGTATATGATTGCTTCCTAGCTAGTTCACATTTGAAACAGATATGGTTGCATCAGTTCTACCATTACAGATTGTTTTTGCTTTCATCGTACTAACGGTGACTGCATGGATAGACTAGTGAGTGCTGGTTGCTAGTCTGTTTTAATACATGCTACAATACAATTCGGTAAAATACAATTCGGTAAAATACTACAATACTACAATACATACTACATAATACAGTACTACAATTCGGTAAAATGTTCAACGACGAACGTTTGAAGTTTTTTGTGCGGTCCTTGTGCTTATGATAACCACCGTCTATCCAGAAAAATGTGTCCGCCAAATTCAGTAACTATTGTGTCACAACAGGTTTTGTCCGCTGCCCACGCGCGGGTACTTGCAACGGGTATACAGTACTGTAGTCCGTAGTAGCGGTAGTCCGCCTTCTGTAAACGACACCCATATTTTTGTCTCTTAACCGCGTACGTATGACCTGTGTCCGACGGGTTTGCGATTTTGTGCGACGCAATATCATGCAGGTTCTCGTTGACGAAGGAAATGCAAGGGTGACGGAGAGATCAGTACGATAGGAATAATTACCGTAAATAATCTATCCTACCGACCTAACTCAACGACAGAGAATGAGCTGGTATCTCAATGTGGCATAGCTAAGTCTACGAATCTACGCGATGCGAGAACTGCATCTCCGACCGATATTTTAATTATAAACTCCGACACTGCCAAAACTCGTAATCAGAGAACTGACCCCCCAAAGTACTGCCACACACGGACTTATATAGGCGCAAAGCATATCCGCGTAGAAAACCAAACTCAACTCAAAACAAAAGAGAACATTCTAGAAAGTAGAAGGAATATGAGCAAGTACGAGTAAAGATATTAACGTACGTACTAATCACTGCGAGTACGGCTATATTCCGTCAAGGGTAAACTGCAATGCCTATTCCAGATCTTCCGTTGACTACCGCGGTCAGTCGGGACTGAACTTCAATGCCAGTCTTTCTCGCCGAGGCCAGCCTTACAGCGGTGGCTCCGGACGGGTACGAATTCCGAAAAAATTCCCACAGTATAAAAAGAGCACGCCCCCGTATGAGGGCAGCCCGGGCGCCGGTTTTGAGCACCGATACCGGAAAGGTCAGCACGTGTATACCCGGGAGCGTTTCAGACCAAGAGGGAAACCATACACAACTATCCACGATGGCCGTTTTCGAGGTGACTATATTTTGCGCGTTACATCGGAGATCGTTGCCATTGACTGTACCACCCGATTATCTACGCTGGTCAATGGAACATTGCCGGGTGTTAAATGATATGGACGAACCGAATTTGACAATTGCAAGTCGACTCATCTGTGCTTAGAGGCTATAGTACCATATCTAAAGTTATGCGTACGAACGCTTTATTTTTCAAATGCATGCACAAATTAAACCTTCCATAATATACCATATGTTGGAGACATGCTGAGTTTTTGTTATTTAGCATTGGCACGGTCTAACTCAGCGCATGGCGCCCTTGTCAGATGACACACCAATGGCCAGCTAGTGGCCAATCCCACCGTATCACTACTTCGACTATGAGTTCCAGCTACAACCCGGAGATGCCGGCACCTGTTTCTACCACTCACATGTCGGCTTCCAGGCGAACACCGCGTACGGCGCCTTGATTGTCGACGAAACCTACGGGCGTCCGCCGTTTGATTATGACGACGAGCGGACGATCGTGTTTCAAGATGTTTACTACGAAACAGACGACCGGATCAAGTTCAACATACAGAATCCGAACAATCTCCTCTGGCCCGGTAATCCGAAAAACGTGGCCTTTAACGGTAAATCACGCCCCATGAATGAGACGTACGCCCGGCCGGGGCCAGGGTGTGAGATGGGCGTGATTGACGTTGCAGCGGGCGGTGTCTATCGGCTACGCTTCATCGGCGCCACGTAGCAGCTACTCGCAGGTGTTTATTGCTTTTGAGGACCACCCAGATTTAGTTCTGATTGAAGTTGACGGGAAATACATTAAGCCGTATGTGGGTGACCATTTGGAGATCAGCTCAGGGCAGCGGTACAGTGTCCTTCTGTATGCCAAGACTGGTGCTGAATTAGCCGGTCGGAGCCGGTTTTTTATGCAATTTGAATCCGTTCAGCAGATTCCGATGATGTACGAGGGTATGGGATATTGCACTACTATAATGTCCGTGCCGAGCCGGTGGACACCTTCACCTTACCAGCTGAAAAAGTGCTGACCTTGCCGCACGAGACATTTGCCGACGGTTGGCTGGAAGATCAGCTGCAGCCGTTGAAACCGCATCCGTCCAATCCGTTCAACACGCAGAGCGTACGTTAATGTCCAAGCGATCGATGCCAAGACGATGTCGGGCGGCGAGACCGAGTACTACTTCCAGAATGGCGCACCCTGGTATGAACGACCCGTAGCTTTCATAAAAGACATGCCGCATGAGCCGTATTTAGTGTCACTGTACCGCAGAAATTATAATAATTTCCCGAACTATCAGCGCGCCATTCAGGGTAACGGTTTGGACAATGTGACGAAATCCTTTCCAGCAAGGATCGGCGAAGTGCTGGAGATTGTCTGGTATCTGGTGGGCGGCAGCCAGTACGGTGATGTGTATCCGCATGCGTGGCACGCCCACGGTGACCATTATTACGACTGCGGCACCGGTCTGGGCACGTACGATCCCATGGCCAATAAGGCCAGACTGCTGGAGCGACACGGACGAATTATTACGTCCAACCTGTACCGACAGGATCCCAGTGCAGTAACACCGGTTCCCGGGAAGGTGTTTACCTGGAGGGCCATGCGGTTGCGGGTGCAGAATCCTGGTATGTGGATGATTCACTGTCACCTGCTGTTCCCCATGCTGATGGGACTGCAGACAGGATGGGTGTTTGGGGAACTGGAGCATCTAACGCCGCTGCCGGCGCACTTAGTGAGAGGGTATCTCTCTTACGGTGGATCGGCCTACGGGAATGCCACATTCGCACCACGTGTACTACATTACTGGCATTAATAAGACTTGGCTTTGCTTATGATGGTGGTAAATGGTAATGCGTTTTAACAGAAAGTATATTTGCACAAGTAAGTATTAAAGTCACTGTAGTAATATACGAGTACAGTACAATTTGTATGTACGCATATTGTTATTTTTATCGCTAATAGTAAGATACTTGCAAAGTGTTGTTTTTTTTGTACATAATTTATTTATATCGGAATGAAGCAATCTCAGTAAACCGAAATCTTTCACGGTCCTTGTTATATAGAGCAAACTTCTTGCTGTGAATGCAGTTACATATTACAGCAGGCATAGTGATAGCGCATCCAGAACGAAACGGAAATGGTACAGTTAACAGTTTCGAGCAAGTGGGGAAATACGAGGAGGCGCGCATTCTTGAACACTTGTACAACTACAGTTGATCAGTGCATTAACTTTTAAGGAATAATACAATTTCCGCTGTTTGATCTGCTACTTCTTTACACTCTTTCGCTCCACATGTACTGCACCAATTCGGTTTTACGCAGTACCCGTGGGATCTTCAGCTGTGTCGGCGAGGTGGATGAGTTATCCAGCATGTAGCGGCGCAGCCTTTGAAAAGCGCCCGGCTTAACCAAATGCAAGTCCAACGCGTCAATGGCGCCTTTCTTGCGGTAGAGATGATAGTCACTGTGATTCTTCCGTAGAGTTTCATCCAGCTGAGAAAGAAATTGTAACCGCCTTTACGTTGGTGCCGAAGTAATTGCGAAAGGAAGTATTAGTTGCATAATTACAAATATGTGTTGTGTTGCATAATTACAATTATTGTTTTATGTGCTATTTATTTTGATCGCAGTGACCACATCACCAAGCAGGGCACTACCGCAAAAGTTACTCTACCTTTTCCGAAAATTCTTTTTGGAGCGCTAGGAGATCGCAGTCGCCGTCGATACTTAGCTCCAAAAAGACCACATAACAGGGCGTACTGGATTTCGCAACAACTGTCAACAGGCATATACATAAGTAAAAAATAACTGTTTTACAGCTTGAAATATTTTATGAATGCAAAACTACAAACTAAACGTACCATCAGGTATATTAGCCGTATCCCTGGCCAGGCTTTCGCATGCCGTGAAGTCCACCACACGATCAATACTGTAGTCAACGGTGGTGATGACCTCCTTAATGGCATCCAGCATAACAACTTCTGACACTTTTTCGGCTTTGATGTTGAGCAGTTGACCCGATCTAAGCAACAGAACAAGAAAAACGGTACCCAACTGTTTCGGTTATTTCCAAGCGCAGAAATGTACCGGTACTGGAATTCGATGACTGGACACTGGTTGTAGAAGTCCACCACTTTGACAACATCGCCCAGACGGTACCGGTACAAGCCGGCTGGTGTGGTTAATACCGCTTCATAAGTTTCGCCCTTTTTAACCTAAAAAGCAAGGTTAATTTTTATTAGTGGTGTTATACCACATGATTATTGTGAGAACAATGTGATAAAGACATCAGCTAACCTGGTCCATAAAGTAGGTCTTTGGATTGGTGTCTGTGACATTTTCCAAGGGAATAAATTCCCAAAAAATTCCGCATGGCCACAGAATGTAATTAACGGAGGAACGAAACGGCCATAGATTGATTCCCAGAAAGCCTTCACTGGCACCGTAAAAAGGACTGTACAACGTGACATCTAAAGAATTAACACAGGATTTTCTGAATAGTAAGAATAAATAATAAGAACTGGATATATCTACTGAACATATCAAATTTTTTTGCCAAACTATCAACAATGTTCAGTAAATGTGTAGTAAATACCTCCGGTGTACTGCTGCCGCAGTGCATCAGCATAATGAACAAACGGTCCGGATGTGATGCACTCGATCACGCTGAGTTTTGGCCATATTCGCTTGGCGATATTTTTCATCCCTTCAAAAGAAAATGGTTGTGAAATGCATTGTACATGTCGTCATAAGCGTAGGACAAAAATTTATCATATGAATTAATATCCAAATACTGCATTAATAACTGATAATTAGTACCCATAAAACTATGTACAATATTTAAAGTTGCTACTTGTAAAACTGCTTTAATGTTGTAATGTGGTATTGCTGTGCATTGGGACTGAACGATGCTGGACCACATAGGCACGCAATAAATTCAGATCTACAGTTACAGTGGATAAATACCGAGATTAAACAAAATAAACCAATACTTTTATGGAAACTGGTGCAAATAGTATATGTGTACCTTTGGAGAATTCGGCCTCTAGTTCACTAGCACGCTCCGGATCGGGTGTTAAATATTGCATCAATGTCTTTCTGGTTTCCGGTGTGATTTGCAGTGCTGAGTTCAAAGTACCGTCACGAATGTCCTTGACTAAGGTCTTCCATTCCGCCTCCAGCTCGATAAAGGCAAAATACACCAACGACACGAAAAGTGTCTCTATTTTTGTTAAATTTTTATACCGGAGTCCAAATAACAGATGGATGTAGCGGGTAGACTCTTCGTGGGGAATATCGTATCCCGCTGGTGGCGTCGTGAAGATGTCGGCGTACTCGAATACGGCGGACGAAGCACTGACCGGTCCGATCTGCGTGCCGTTGGCAGATTTATCCAGCAGCCGACGGACGTTGTAGTAGATTCTCATACACTGAAATACAAACGCATCCCAGTAATAAAAATGCAAATAGTATATAAACACGTGTATATAAAATGCATGTAAAATACGAATAATTTAACGTAAATTTATTCAAATGATGTACTCAAATAAATATAAACACTAAAGTGTATATGTAAATGTATAAAACGTTAATTGTAAAATTACAGTATTTTAATCTGAAATCTATAATATCACTGCATGTTACAATTGATTACGAATTATGATTTCTATTCATAATAAAATGCAACGCTGTACAAATCCAGAGTACAACATTAGTTAACAATTTTTTAATTAACAAATCCTGGATAGAGAATAATGATAAGTAAAAGACGGTTTGTTAAAGAGTGGTATTTACTTTTTTGACGTTTCTGGAGGTCGGCACATCATCAGAGACGACGTTAGCGAAAATCGCTTTGATTTTCTCAAATTCCTTTCGCTGGTAATCCACCAATGGAATCCGGCTGGGCTTTCCGGTCGTTCCCGATGTCTCCCCGTAGTAAATGGGCGACTCCGACGTCATGACCTTTTCCTCCGCCTTCCCGACCATGCGCTCAAAATACTCTGCGGAATGGGCATACTTGATCAGTGGATGCACGCGGATGTAATCTTCACGGCTCTGCACTTGTTCCAATTTGGCGTCTTTGTAATATGCCGTGTCCGAGTTGTATTTGAGAATTCTCAGCAGCTGATCGGTTTGCAGCTGTCTAATATCCTTTGTGCTTTCGTCGAGTTTCCGATGATAATACCAACCGGCAAAGTAATCCTTGCGCCATTTTAGATATTTATTCCATGACACATACAGCGGGAAGTCTTTTTCGCGGTTGATCAGAAAGTCGACTCCAACGAAAAACAACACACCGGCAATGACTGCAACAAGAGGAAACGTTTTTTTAAAATGCTAAGTAAGGTTTTTTTAATTTACTTTTCACTGCTGTATTTCGAAGAACAAAATTATAAAAAATAATTTATTCAGAAAATACATCAAAATTGTACTGGAGAAGTAAATTCAAATAGTAAAATTTATACAGTGAAAATTAGACTAACAAACTACAAAATGTATCATGCAGTAACTCTGTACTGTGTATATATATACGCTCACCATTGTGGAAAAGGCTGTATAGTAATCCGAACTGGAGTACCGACAGCGTCCATGCCGGCACGATGGCGGCAGCGGTCAGCAGAAATGTTGTTTTCATAGTGAAAGCCATTGTAACCCCCACCGAATTCTCCTCCGATGCGACGACAGTGGAAAACAGGTGTAACTATAATTTTTCTTCCACGGTCCGCAATTAACGGGGGATTGATTAGCGAGTTAAGACGCCGCGGTCTGGCCTTTATAAGATTTTTATTCATGGTAGGAATTATCAGCAATCCGCATGATATCTTGCGGAATTAAGTAGAGTGCGCAAGTATTTTGGACCCGTTTTTACCTTTTGATTTTTCTTATCGCTGTTAAGTGGAACAAATTACAATAGACGCACGTGGTGTACTTGAAATTTCTAAACAATGCATTGTAAAATTTTAAGGTTTCCCTCAAACGATATTTCGTTATCATTTTCATGGATACCCCGAATTCAACCGCTAATACTGGGTCAATGGCGATAAGTTTTACTCGCAGACAAGTATGGAATACGAAAGTACAACTACGGTGAACTACCATAATCCTATGTATAGAGCAGGCATAATTAAATTTTCGTACTTATGTATCATAATGTATGCATATCTATATCTATAATTATAACTTTTACATATTTTTTTTACTTATTATAAACTGAGGTGACTATGGTACAATAAAGCATGCTTGTCGTTAATTTTGTAAATAAAGGTGTGCATGTACTGTAAATACAATGTCAAAACGACGGCGGAATTTTCTGCCGGCGGAAATTTTTTGTGGTCAAAACGACGGCGGAATTTTCTGCCGGCGGAAATTTTGTGTGGTCAAAACGCCGGCGGAAATTCTCGTGGTCAAACTGCCGGCGGAATTTTTGTAACTTTTAATTTCATTTTCTATGCGTTTTTAAAAACGATTTTGCAGGAAAAATGTATCTTACATACGTAGAACTGGGCGCCCCCTTATCAATATAAATCTCTTTATCGGGCCGCATGTATGTACAGTATGTATGGGCGTTGTGGCGTCGGCAGTTGCACAGAACGCGCGAACAAGTTCAAGTGAATACCTGAGCCGCGCAAAAGAGACAAACAAGGTGTTTGACAATGGCACTGCGGCAATGACACTGAGGTGCGATCTAGTCTGATCCCTTTGGAGCCGTTCCTGGGAAGACTCACAAGTTCTCTGAACACAGACTGGCAGAGCCAACTCAGACGAAGAATCTCTACGCGCAGAGATCTCGTGGTCAAACTGCCGGCGGATTAACTGATTGGTATTCGAGCACGTACGTATGTTCTTTTATCATTGTGTTTTTGTTTTCTTGTGCTTTTTTTAATTTTTCAACTTTTTTAAAGTTGTAGTGTTCGTTTGTCATTGTTGACTGTTTATCTGCAGAACGATGAAGCATGTTTTGAAACTAGCATTAGCAGAAGTTTGTTTGACAAGAATGCATAGATACATAATACATACTGTAGAATGTCCAGCGTGTATTTTACTGCGTGAATTAGTTTACTAATAAGTTGGTTTTGTATCAATTTGTGATTTCCGTAAAAAAAATGCATGTTCAGGAAATTCCGCCGGCAGTTTAACCACGAGAATTTCCGCCGGCGTTTTGACCACACAAAATTTCCGCCGGCAGAAAATTCCGCCGTCGTTTTGACCACAAAAAATTTCCGCCGGCAGAAAATTCCGCCGTCGTTTTGACATTGGCCCATGCTACACTACTCAAGTCTAGAGTAGAGTACTTAGTACTGAGTAGATAGTCTAAAATCTAAATAAGCATACGTCGTACAGGTATACCGATGTACTAGTACGTATTCCGACTTTTAAGCGTAAATATCCAATTCGCGACAAACTCTATCAATAATAATTATTTTTAACACTGTGTTTAGTGTGTTATTTCCTACATCACGAAAAACGATCCTGTTAAACAGAAAGGCTACTATTGTACTGACAAATGAAAAATATTAGAATCGTAAACAGGCATTTTCGGAACAAAGAAAACAGCAGCAGCGATGCATTTTCACACTGAAATCACTGACTAATTGAAACAAAGATATCTTTTAATCCATCAACATTCTGCGCTTTCTAAACTACTGTATCTGACAAAAAACATTATGACACAAGCACACTGCAGTGACTGAACTAATACTTGTTTACAAAGATAAACAGAAATCACCATGAGACAACCTTACCGAGATCACAACGCAAACACGACTAGAACATAGACACATTTACTGCTCTGATGCTTTCTCCATCTCGATCACCACTTTGAAAGGATTCTTCCAGTCTTCATTCACAAACATCCGATCCGTGGACAGTGGCTGCCGAAAGAGCTGCGCGTTCTGATAGGCATTCTGATATCCACCGGACGCCTGTGCACCCGATAATTCCGCCCGTATGATAAATTCATCCCATCCCACCGCTCGGGAGACGGATTTCAGGTTTTGCGCATCCAGAAGAACGGTGTAATCATCGCGCGAGCAGATGGTGACAACAACAACCCCGTCACGGTATAGTTTATGGGGTACGCGGACTTGCAGATTTTTCACTTGTAATCCTGGAAATAAAATGTATGTACTGTATAATTATAGATATGTCGTACAGCGTACATACACGATGAATTTATTTCGGATGAGATTGCACATGAGTACAGATTCCTTCAAATTAAATTGTATGTATACAACCGGGCAAATTCGTTTTAATGAATTTTAATCTCACTGTCTACCAATCAGATTGCAACTTTAAATTTCTCATCTATAAATTTCTTCGTGTTTGCTTCCTTTCCATTTAAATAATATTATAAAACTGACCAATAAACTGCAATAACACAGACGTAAATTTTGCTGCAAAATTTTGAAAAGAACCGTTATTGATAAACGCTAATACTCGAGAACGCATTGATTTCCAAATCAGTTTATACATCTAAAACATTTTAGCCCAATAAGACAGCATGTAATCGCTTGAAATTCAGAAATTAAAGATCTCCAAGGTTTCAAAAGGCAATTTAAAATTAATAAAATAATAAATTGTCCGCAAAAAAGTTAAAGCAGATCTCCAAAACAACTCACGGCTGCTTCCAGGACAAAGATTTCTAAAACCAAGACACCGGCTTACCAGCTTTTTTCAGATTGAATTTCCATTCCACAACACCCTGGAGAAGATTCTGCGATTTATCCCGATTCGGGTCCCGCAGAACGAGATCTCTCCGTGCCAGATAGGCCATCCCCCAGTCGTCTTCCACCTTCCGATCCACGTTACAGCAGCGCCATACGCAGCTCTTCCACCGCGATGTGCGCTTCAGATTCGCATCGTTCTGACAGACTGTACGGAAATAGGCATCGTTCACCACATTGTACAGCACTTCCATTCGGTGCTGGTTCACTTCCTCGCCTTTGGGCACAAACTCATAGCCCACGCAGTCGATTCCCGACACATACTGCTCGTAATCCTGGCAGTAGGGATTAAAGCGTAAGGGGGGACCGAATTTTTCCGGGGGGATTCCGGGGATGGCGACGGCATCGAAGACGGGGAAGCGATCGCCAGGGAAGAAAAACGACATGGTCCGCTGTTTCCAGCTGCAGATTCCAGTCAGTGGATGCTGCTTCAGTGGCTTGCAGTCCTTAGATATTAGATACGCTCCTTCAGAGTCACTGTTACAGCTTTTCCGATTTCTACAACTTATACAAGGTATGATGTTCATGTTCAATCGAAAACTTCACCGCAATAAACCGATCACCGATGACTCAAATAAATTCCCAATAAATTATTCATCCATCGTGATCAGATAACACATTCATGGTGCATCATTTTCATTTTACCGTTTTTTACGAGCACAATCACTACAGTACAGTACTCCTACAACTTGCGTCGCAAAGCCACCCGCCCAAGATGGGGTTTGACTTTGCGTAATGCTCGATACAACCAAAGCCTGGTTCTGATGAAATACTCGTACACTGGCTGTACAATGTACATACGAAATACAGTACCTACAAAATTAAGCATTTCACTGCACATAAATTATTATTTTTTGTTAACATTTTTATTAAAGTACAGTAGTACGAAGTACTACTCTGATCTTAATTTTTAACTAGGAAACGGAGCGGAGCAGGCCGGAAACGGTTGATGGAACTGAGCGTTTTCATATTATACGTGTTCAGAAGTACGGAGCTTCCTTGATCTTTCTTTTATCCACAGAATGCAAATGCTTAGTTAACTTAGAAACACTTTAAGAAGTAGAAAAAAAGAGGCAGCCGATGAATACTTCTTCTAAAAGAACTAACACATGGGTTGAAAGCAAATGTAGCAAAAAAAATGTTTCGGGAAGATTATGTGCTGTAACTAACTTTAACAATCTGTTGGAGTGTTGTGGCTTCGCTCATCATCGTTTGTGACCCATACTAGAGCTGCGCCCACCATCCTTCGTCCCCTCCCAGGACTGCACCTCCACCTCGCCTTCATCCGAATCCACCTTCCACTCCTTCTTCCCCTTTCCGGTACCCTTCCCCTTCCCCCGCAGATCCCCATCAATCACCTGCTCGCGTGTCTCCAGATGCATGCCCCGCAACCAGTCCGCAAAACGCGGATCGCGCAGCAACCACTCATTGGCCCGCTTCAACTTGGCCGGTCCATGGTACTGCAGCAACTCCTGCCGGCGCTCCAGCAGATGCATCCGGAACTGGATGGCACTCTTCTCGTTCTCATATAGAGTGTACTCTTTCGGGGTCACTTCGCCGGTGACCTGGGCTTTGCGGAATTTCTCGTTTAGGATCTGCAGTTTATGAAATTCATCTTCATGATTCTTTTGCAACGAGTTGGCGGTGTAGAGGAGACGCTCTTTGATGTCTTCGAGTACCGCTTGGCGGATGGCCAGTGCGTCGTCCACGGAAGCGATCTGGTTGTCGCCGTAAGCGGCCATGTAGGGCGCCGCCCAGTCGAAGGTTGTCGGGTCGAAGGTGGGTTGGGATTCTTCTTTCTTCGGCTGCGGCGCGATGGAGGCTTGTTCGGTTTTGCGTAGGACGGCGGCGGCCCGCGGGTGCCGCTCAATGTCGTAGATGGAGTGCCACAATGCCGGGTCTTGTTCCTCTTCAATACGCTGATTGATCTCGTCGTGGAAGTCGTCCTCGGACCGGCGCACGCTGATGATGGCGTTGAGGGATTGCTTGTAATGGTGGACCATTTCGTCCCAGATATCGATAGGTACACGTTTCTCTTCCTTCAGCTGGTCACGGAAAACAGCTGCAAAAACGTATGGTTACTGTATCATGTTTTCCATTCGAGCAGAAAGTAATATCATTAAAATATATTTGTCGCTTGAATCTGTCTATCTATTTTTGACGCTTGAACTCTGTATGTGTACAAAAAAATTACGGTAGGTTTGAATTAAAAGAGTTAAACTCAAATCGTGCATAAACTGCAATGGCAATAACGCAGAGCAGCGCGCCTCTTCACTACAGTTTCAAATCAATCCAAAGGAAAAGCAATCACAATCGTGTATTATGAAAATATATATAAATATTACTTTGTTGTTTAATCAGCTTAACGTCTACAACGATCAGGAGAAACCTGCACGAGGTTGTAGACAAACGTAGAAGATCAGCTGCCACAATAATGGGCAGCCACTTTTAACAGTGCTTTGAGATATCGCCATAACTTAACAAGTATTACTCATTTACGGCATTTAAATAAGAAAACAAAAGAGATCACAATTTAATTACAATTTAATTTTTACAGCACAAAATCGACTCTACAGTAACAGAGTACATTATATCTATACTCGTATTTGTTATAGAATAATTTACTTGCTTACAATGGCCAGAAGAAAAAACAATGCAGTAAGTATTTTAAAACATGGCATACAGGTGCACGTTATAAATGCTTTGAATTTGCGTTTATACGGCTTACGTATACGAGTAAGTACTCTCAGTTTTGGATTCTTTATTGCAGCAAGAACCTGCGACAGAAATATTAAAAACTGTTTTAAGCTGTATTCCTCTACATATGGCCAAGCTTTTGCATTCTTGCGCTGAACCGTTAAAAAAAATTAAAAAATTTGATATAACAAGGTGTAGGCGTACTATCATAGGTACTAACTTACTAACCCATCATAACATCCTCGTTCATCCGCAGATATCCCGCCGGCAACTCCGACCCGGCTTGCGGCGTCTCACTAAAATCCGGCAGAATAAACCGGCGCTGTGTACTGGTCACCAGATCTTTCCCCGGCTGAAACACCAGCAACAGCTTATTCTCCCCGACATGATACTCCCGAATATAGATATCCACATCCGGATCCTGACACTGCGGATCCCGGTCAAACTTCTCCCGCACCACCGCCACCGGACGCTGATCCCCTTTGCACTTCAATGCTTCCACGGCGTACGAACGGTCAATTTGGGTGCCGTAGCTGATATAACGCTCCACCAGACGATCCCGACGACCCCGGTAAAACCAGTGGATGCCGTCGGAGCGTTGTTCCAGACGTTCCAGGCCGTCGTTACGGTACTGGTGGTAATAGGTCATCATGCGGAGGGTGTTCTCGTGGACGTCATAGGTGTTAATGGACCGGTACAGTTCACTGAATTTTGGCGGTTTTTCCGAGTGGATTTGGACGTCGTGCATGCGGATGGCTTTGGTGTGGCCGGGTGCAAAGTATTCCCGGAGTATACCGTCGCGGATCGTGTGTTTACGATATTTCAGACGGTCACGCCGGTTTTCGTACAATTCCTTTACTTCCATAATGTGCTATACGGAATAAAATAGTTCCCCTGCGTAAATTAAATTATAATAACGCAGTTTTAACACGCAGATCTTTTTACTTTACATTTTAATTTTACTTTTATTTTTATCTAAATCCACGGTGTATGCATGCAAGCGTCAAGTCAAAAATAAAATATAACAATTAAAGTTTATGATACTTGGTCTACAATGTCCGAAGCACAAAAATAAATAGCAAAATGCTAAGGAAAAAATCAATGTGCTACCCTTAAACTTCTCAATTGCAACAAAGAAGTTAAGTTTTGATAGTAACAAGTACTTACTATAGTGTGAGGTAAGTAAGTAAGTTCTTGATATACTACCTATATAACTACCTATAGTAAGTTCTTGATAGTAACAATAAAAAATCAGCCGGCATTAAAATTAGCCGGCAGTATCGTACCGTTTTCTTGCGGTTGCTGAAGATGATAAACTTATTGACCAGTCCATCTTTCCGTTCGTACTGATGATAATATTCCATATCGCATTTCAGGTAGCGATGCAGACGGTATCCATTCTTACAATACCGTAAATATCGTCGCCGAGAAATCACTAGCGGCTCACTCCACGGTCGCGGCATCTCGAAACCGCGAAACGGCCATGCTGCCACCTGGCACTGCGACGGAGCGCCCTGGATGTCTTCGGCGAAAAGTTTACATCCCACTGTGGCCAATAAGTCTTCGGAATCCGTGGTCCCATCAGTCTGCAACGCATGTCCTGATAATCTATTATGAATCTGACAACATTTACAATTATAATTATGTTATTTATGTACACCAGTGCTTTATTTCACGATGCTCATGGTTACAACCCGGCACCACGAGTACGGCTTAAAAAATCAGATTAAGTTTTGTAGAATTAAAGCAGCCAGCATCTTTAACGTTATCATGCAGTTTAAGTTGTTTAACACGTGGCAAAGTGTAAACCGTATCTTTTCTCCTAATTACGTGCCTGTACTTCCGATGCGTTGCTGCGTAGTGCAATGGCTAAAGCACTCAGACGTCTACCCAAAATCAAGCACGCTGAAGATAAATAATTAATACTAGTTTTGGACTACTGATTTAGTAAGTTTTTTATGAATGTCTTCCATAGGAAAAGTCTCAAATTTTTATTCAAATAGCAAACACCGAGGTGGTTTTATTTTGAACGGAAGCTTTTCCTCGGTAAGTTTTCGCACTAGCATTGTAGCACAAAGTGACACTATGTTTCCGTACCACATCTGGGTTTATAAAGAAATGCGACTTACAATACTAGCGGACCCCTTTCCGGCGTCGGCTGCTGTCTCCCGGAACACCGGCTCCCATTTCTGGATATCGCTGACATCCCAGCTGAGTAGCTGTTCCCCCGTCGGCCGCGGTTGCATGTTGACATAGTACTGACGGTGATTGAAGATGCTCTCAATGTCGTAGAATTCCGAGTGGGTGGCCGGGAAGGCGGTGCCGGTCAGCGGTTCAATGAAGAACGCATCGGCAATGTCACGCTTCCCGGGAACAATCACGATCCAGGCGTGGACGCGCCGGTGGAAATACGGATCCGTCTCTGGATTCTCCTCGTTGTCCACGTCGGGCTGCGGACCGGCGCGTTCTTTCTCGTTGGCCAACAACTCCGCGAGGCCTATATTCGATTAATAGTCCAGCATAAAAAACCATCAACTATAGCATCACACAAATTGGTATGCATTCAGTATCACAAAGTTTAATTATTATGGTATCACAAAAAACTATTTTGAATAAGGATCATAATTTATTAGGTACTATAGTATTTCAAAACAATGTTACTAATTCATTATCATAAAATAAAATATACAGCAGAAAAAAATTAATTCAACAGGGTATCGCAACTGCCACTTATTTACTGCAGTGTATTTGCAAAGAGCATTGACTTGTACTAACAGCCACTACACTACAAGCAACGTCAAAATCTTTGTAACCTTTAATGTTGGCATTGCGCTCCTTAATGCGCGCCGCTCTCTGCCGGTTGATCGTATCCTTAAACACTTCACAGGCAATTTCCGAATGCAGATCAGCAAAATCAAAATCCTGTTCGTACTGCGGAATGATCGTGGGCAGCGGTTCCTGTGGTACACAGGGACACACCCGGTGGCTCTCGTCGCCGGTACAGATAGCTGCGCTGGCGTAACCGACGACGATGTACGCGTCGTAGCCCACACCGATCAGTACCGACGCCAGTAGGAAGCAGTAGTCGAAACAGTTGCCTTGTCGCTCCCGCAACACAAAACTCGGGGACATGACGACGGTCGGCGGAATATCGGGCGGGTTGAGGAAGATGTATTCCAGCTGGTAGGCGAAAAATCTGGCAATCCCTACAAGATGACCGCTATCACTGCGGACAAACAAAATTCACCAGAAAGGAAACCACAATAAAAAGACGAAAATGCTACGAACAATTAACAATACACAAACTCCTTATTATTATTATTATTACATCAGGAGCAGACAACCCGCTAAACGGGACTTCAACGTCTGGTCGGTAGTAATGCACGCCCAGTAAGAATAGCTAAACAAAAGACAAATCAGCAAAAATCTAAGCATAAATTGCTTTTTGCTATTAGTATTAGTGAAACGATATTAAAATAATTATTGTGGGAAACTCACCATCCCATTGGAAGAGATCGTGATAACTGAATATGGTCGGACGGATGGTTGTGCAGACAAATCGCGGTACGCCAACTTCCTGTAAGCGGAATTCTTGAACTGCGGATCAGTGACCACTGCATTGTAACGTACGTTATGAATGAATCGAAAATGTGTCTGTATACTGGCAAGAATTGTAGTATAACGGCAAAAAGCATAATAAGGACCAAATGTTGTACGCCAGCTTAGAAAACAATTTCAATGGCTCGTATTAGGTGCTTAGTTCTTGCAATAAGTTTTTTCAAAGACGCGTAAAAAAATATATTTTTCTCTCTGAACAAATAAAATCGTAATTTCCTTCAGCGCTTCAAGAACGTTTTAAAAATCTAATCGAGCGAAGCTAAGCGAAGGTCGATTTCCACGAAACCAAAAATTTTTCGGTCACATCGGTCATGTCAGTCACGCATTTACAATTTTAAATAAAATATGGAAGAGCACACCAAAAAATAATAAAAATAAAAGAAAAAATCTTTTTTAAATATAAAAAAATATTTTTAAAACAGTTTGTTAAACTTGGTTTCCCGCTTCGCTTCGGCCTTTTAGTGCAAGCCAACAGCGGTGCACTTTCCTGTTATTACTGCTGTAACGACACAATCTACTAACATTTTTCGAGTAATACAATGATATTTCTGAACACAACGTCTATAATTTTTCGTTTCCTCGCTTACCTGCTGGTTTAGCTTACATTAACAGGCGTCAAAAACAGCGGCTTCCGGTCGGGATAGGCGTCGGTAAATTGTCGTCGAAAGTTACTGACGATGGCCAGGCACTGACTCTCCTTCTGCGTATACTCATAATAATGCGGCGGCGGCGGCAGATCCTCGTCATCCGACGGCGCCACCAGCACCATTTCCGGCGCGGTCTCCCCGGCATCCTCCACTCCCAACTTCCCTTCATCGTAATAATCCTCCGACTCCTGGATAGAGGTGACGCTGGGCGTCGAGTCTACTTCGACGCACTCCGCCTCGTGAGCGGCTTCCGTCTCTTCGTCATCGAGATCCAGTGCATCACCGGGCTTGGTGGAACGCAGGAGGGCGTCGGATTTGGTGGGTTTGGTCAGACCGGCATCTGTCTCGCCTCCGACGAAGGAACCGTAGGGAATGATGCGGGTGCCGTACGTGGTTAACTCCGCATCGGGCTTTACGATCGGCGGCTCACCTAAGGTAGAAAAGATTTGAAAAACGAAAGAAACTACGAAAAACCAAAAAAATAAAATTAAATAGAACACAAACTCCAGATAAAATATAAATGTTTATCTTTACAAAATTACGTGCAAACAAATACGCAGTATTATTCTAGTGAAAAGTGTACTCGTAGGTTTTAAAACATATTATATTGCAATTTCATTAGGTAAATGAAATGCCCATCAACTGACTAACGAAACAGAAGTAAACCTTGTACTTCGCATGGGGCCTTAAGTTTTCCCCTCATATAGTACGGGAAATTTCGTTTTCCCCCGCATATGTGCCGCTTAGTCGCTTACACGAATGCAGCCTAAAGTTGGCTGCAGCTAAAAAACCGGTTTCTGGCCAACTCGGCATATCCAGTTGCGCAACTCAGATGAAGGCAAACGTGTTGCCGCAGCGCACGCGGCTTTAAACTGCAGTCAGCTTTAAGCGTGTAAGCGACTAAGCGGCACATGTGCGGGGAAAACAAAGTTTCCCGTGCTGCATGAGGGGAAAACTTAAGGCCCCATGCGAAGTACCAAAAGTCATGTGCTCGTAGAATAAGGGTTAAATCTCGCCGCCGCGTAACCGTCCCGAGACTTGATGTACTGCACAACGATGAGTAATAGCTCAAATAATTCAACCATTCTTTTCAAAAATTTTTGTTCGGTACTCGTACTGCAACTTATGGCATGGTATCCCATGGTATCCCATAATATATGGTATCCCATAATTATGGGTTGTACGTCGATTAACGGCATTTAACGCCGTAGCGTTGACGATTATTTTTTAGCTGATTTTCAAAAGTTTACTGATACCAGCTGTGGTATCCGATTCTTCAGTTAATTAATGCACAATATATCAGAGTAGAAATCAAGAACGTACAAAAACTGTTTCCTCCTCACTAATATCGAATACCTTTGGCAATCATTTCAGCCAAGCTTTCCACTAAGCTCTCCGTGGACGTTGTGGATGAATCGGTGGGTGTTTCTTCGGGCGAGATCGTGCCCCCGGCCTCCTCATACGTCCCATACAGTCCCCGATAGTTATCCTCGGATGCCGGCTGGACACGGCCCAGTTTGGTCTGCCGGGGCGAATCTTTGCGGACGTGACCTTTCGATCGGGCCAGCCGCAAGCGGGAGTATTTGTCATCTTTCTGCCGCTTCTTATCGCTTTCAGCCTCAGACGGCGACGAAAGTTCTAGTCCCGCTTGCACGATCAATTTCTCCAAATATGGTTCACCTTGAGAATTTTAGAAAACGAAATATATTGCTTTCGCATGTTGCAAATTCAAAATTTCATCGATCAATTTATCGGACCGAAAGTACCGGTATGTCAAATTTACAATTCTAGCACAGGATAGACCTAACCATAAGAGATGAAATTACATGTAGCATAAAAAATAACACCATTTCAATTCGCGGGTACTTGTTAACAGAAGATTAATCCCAACAGTAAAAACATGGATATCAGAAAATGTTACAAAAGCTAGCGGATTTTGTATGGATTATTAATACCAGCACCAATTAATACCATAATCGTCAAAGAACCCAAAGGGAAACAAACCGTTACACTACCAAAATCACCACTCAATACGAAAAAAAAGCAAAGCGATTGTTGATAAATACCACGCGACAAAAAAAAACTTCAACAAGCAACTTAAAATAAGGAACTGTTAAGTTTTTTTAAAATAAAAACAATATAAATACTCAGAACTTGCATACATTAGCCAGCAGCATATAGATGTGCTGTTTCGCGCAAAAAATTTGTTTGTCTACGGACATGTACCTTCATTCTCCACACGATCCAGAACATCGAGGAGTTCCTTCAGATACGGATCCTGGAGATCCGCCGCATCCAGCATGCCCAGCTGGTCGATAGTGACAGACTGGTGGGCGTCGCTTGGCTGATCACTGACGTCATTACTGACCAGGTCAACAAATTTCTTGCGGCTGTCCGAATGACCTGCCACAGTCTGTTTATCGCTGGACTGCCGGGGATCCATGTGAGAAGGGCGGTTTGTTATAAATTGTCTTGGCTTACGAAAAAATTACAGGAAGCAAATTACAGTCGCAAACGACGCCATGATACGAACATTAATCAATTACGCAAAATCTGTCTGCTGATTTCATGCGTTTACACTGCACATTTACAAGTGTTATAAACATACTCGTACTTTGCTAAAGAAATTTAATGCAATTATAATTAAGCTATCCACAATTTATGCCTGTTCCCCAATAAATAAAATAACAAAGGCTCAGTAAATATGTACAGCATGTAATTATACAAACTGCCTGTTATAATATATTAACAATTGCGCTAAAACAGCCAGTTAAATTCAAGTACACATCTTTTTTTTACACTGCCGTTACTGGAATGTAAGCCTTGAAAACTGGATTTTCAGGTTAAATCTAGTAATCCAATGCAACTAGAAAAGCCAAAATACAGAATAAATAATGAACGCCTATAATGGAGCATACTATTCATTTTTAATTACAGTACTTACTGTACTTATTCAGTTATTCTTAAGCGTAATGTGCGACAGTACGAGTAAAAACTTATTTTCCAGCCCGGTAGGTTGTAGATTAATGTTACACATACTTAATAATATTAGTAATTATGAAAGTGCATGCTGCAGAAACCGTGTGACGGTCACGCAGCAACAACAGCTATTCTTATCATTTTTTTTCTGAAAAATTTCCAGAAGTGCATTTTTATATATTCACTGGTTTGCTATTCATGAGCCATGACCACATTCCCATCTGTGCTGCAAGCGCCATCATTCTAATGATTCTACGCGTAGAATCGTACGATGCCTGTCAATATAGCAACAAGGCGTTTGCAAATTCGTTTTATAAAAATACAAATGCTTGAATGGCTTTTAATTCCATATTTTGATTCCACACTTCATATCAGCGATCGCAGTTTTTTTAGCAAGTATAATAATACGAGTAATCAAATGATGAATCATCTGGCAGACCAATAAGCGCATATACAGCCAAAGTGACTGCACTGTAGGCACGTAGCGGAAAAAATACGAGTTCTATATTTCTGATTTATTTACTGTAATCTGCGGTTTACCGCGAACAGCTTACTGCAACACAGACAACACTTCAGAGTGAGAACCTTTCAAGAAAAACTCGAAGGCCAACTTTTAATGCGGAAATATTCACAGACTATTATTTAAATCATCCAGGTCGTTATTAATGCCGCGAACAATATCCAGTATCTGGCAATAGCATTTGGAAGATGTTCCACGACAACTACCCGGGCCAAACCTATTCCGCGTGCACATTCTGTTGCAAGCATCCGCGGAATTCAGTTGGGGATCACACAGATCATGCAGAGCACTGCGCCGGTAACGCTGGACTGACACCTCGTCGGCAGCTGCGTTTTCTCCAAAATAATAAGGATAGCCATTAACCACTGCTATTAAGCACACCGCGAAAGATACCAAAATTAAGGCCTGCATAGTTGTACAGGTGTATGTAAAGCACTACGTTTTCGTAATCCAGAAATTTATCCACCGAAACGCTTATCCGTTAATTAACGCAGACCCGCGCAGAAGCACAAAGCAGATTAAAATACGTGCACAACCGGTGTCGCAGCGGCATATATCGTACTGTATATATACTACATACAGTAGGTGTTTCGTTACTTCTGGACTATGGCCCATAAAGGCGATAATCAGATTTCCATTTAACAGACTGCGTTTACTTCGTACTGGAATTTTAGTACGGTAAAATAATTAATGCACTCCTCCTATTACCGGAAAAAGATCACATACTTGATATAAAAAATTAAATCTGCATCAGTGTGGTCGGACGGTAGGTAAGATTACGATCGTACTTCCAAGCATTTGCAGCAGACATAATTTTAGTTTTCAGAAGGTAGCCCAACACACCAGTAGGTTGCGAGAATCGATAAAGAAAAAACTGCATGTATAGAAGTACAGTAGTCACGCCAATTCCTCTAACAGCTGTAGATTTGTACGCAGAAAAAGGCTTACAATTCACGGCGCAATGAACTGCTCCGTGATTTGGGGATGACCGAAAAAAGCCGCGTCCATATAACTTACAAAGAGTTAGCGTTCCTATTATCTGTTCGTATTGAACAAAACTAAGAAAGCTGCTGATTAATTTTGAAAATTTCACATTCCTCTTATATTCGCGTAATTTTATGAGTAAAATTTACTTATACTACTCCTTGCAGTATATTATTACCTGCAGCTATTGAGTTCAAGATATCCAGTTTTAACGCCATCAGGCAAAATAAATCGATGAAAGGCAGCACCCGCCATATCTTGCACAAAAACAAGGGGAAGACATTTCATCACACTCGTTTACAACCACTTTGGATTAAGTATACAAACAGCTGCACTGCGCACAGCAACAATAAACCAGTAAAACTGTTTTTAACAAACACTTACATATCACTGCAGCTATTCACACTCACAAATGATGCAAAAGGCATTCTTTCTCTCACTCAACCAACATACCACAACTTGAGCGTATTATCCTGCGTTCCTTGAGCGATAACATCCCCGCTGTCATCATCGTCCATTTCCGTCAGATGCCGCTGTCCGGACGCCGTGACCAGTACCGGCCAGGCAGGATGCCAGCTGACCCCGTTAACCATATCAGCATGCACGGGAAACGTCCAGGCTTTCTCCCCCTGCAACTCCCACACCCCCAGGACGCCGTTCTGCATCCCAGAGACCAGGAACGTCTCACTGGGATCCATGTCGAACGTCACCCGCTGATTGGTATTGATATTCCGTCGAAATTCTCGCAGCACCTTCCCCATCCGCAGATCCCAGCAGAAGATGGACGGATCCATGCGGGCGCCGCTGTACAGCCGGCGTCCGTCCCTGGAGAAGGTCAGCTGGGTGATGCCGCCGGTGTGGGACTGCAGCAGGCTCATGACTTCGCAGTCGGCGCTGTAGATCCCGATGGTGCGGTTGTAAGAGCCCAGAGCGATGAGATCCACGCCGCTCGAATCGAAGGCGATGCTGGAGATGATACCGCCTTGTTGGGATTGTTTGGCGCTTAATCCGATGGTTGTACACTGATCACCTGCCACAAAAACATTTTGATTTCACACTGCGGCAAGAGAATACCAATTAAAGGCCGCAGTAATTCGGTAAAAATATACGACAGAAAGCGATAAGTTTATCTGGAAATCGAAATAACGAAACTCATATCAATGTCATATCAACTGTTATAGAACAGACACAGCAAGACACAAATATTTTATTTTCAAATATTTGAACGAATACTCTATTTAAAATAAAGAATGTTCACAGAGAATCGTACTGCATCGAGTGCTTATTTGTGCTGCGATTTATTCACCAACTCCGTTGAAGGTGATACCAATTAAAAGCCACACTACTACAAAACTACCACAACAACATTTACCTAAACATGCCATAAGAATACGCAGATTGTTTTGCTGATTTTTAACGCTAATGTAAGAAACGAACCTGTTCAAGCAAAGTAGCCAACTAACGTAAATATTCATCTAAATGAACTTTTACAAGGAAATGTCATGCAAAGTTAAAAACCAAACACAAATGTTTTATACGATAGTGCTGACTATGATTTCTTACGTCGATTTAAACACACAAAATGCTTCATGTTGAGAATTAAAGCAGCCGACCCATTTCAAAGTTTCAAATTCTGGGATAACTTCACTCCTTCAGCTGATAAGAAGTTCATGCAGCACAAGCAGGCACTTTCCCACATACTTTCGAGCTTATTATGCGAATTACCAGTTACCTGGACAAGAAATATCGAATAATCTCAGCGTATTCTTGTATCCGGCATAAATGATTTCCCCGCTCGGATCCACGCCTACACTATGCGCCGCAATAACCGCATCAGCATAATCTTTCCAATATAACTAGCGCGCAGTGCACCCGTAAAAGCGTCCCATAAATGTACAGGAGCGGTCTTGGCCGTCGTGATGAAACAAGCCGTTTCCGGGTGGAGAGAGCTCATCTTGGGATACCACACATAATCATACACTAAATCCACTTCACGCACACACAACGCCGAAGTCCATGGCTGGGCTTCCGCGGGTAAAGAGCTTAAGTCGGGAGCGTTAAAAATGCGCAGCACACAATCGGAGGAGTTGGTCAGCACACACGAACCGTCGGGAGCCCTAATAAAAAAATAATACGCTGTGCAATTCATAGTAACACACTACAAAAGTCAAAATGCAGTATGTACAATATATCAAATGTGTCAAAATCTGTTACAAACTTACACGCAAACTGTATCAAATAAGATCAATTTGAGGCATCACTACCGTACTCGAATGAGCAGTGAAAATTTTCAGCAGTTAGAACAGCAGATGCTCGGTTAAGAACATCAGATACAAATTAATTACAATAAACCACACAAACGAAAAAGCATCGCACGCAAAAAACCCCACCCGAACAGCTTCCGCTAGGATCATTACAGCAATTTAACTGGACCTCGTAAAAACACGACGTCATAAAAAGCGGACAGACAAGAGAAGCAAAAAGAAATTGATTACTTTCACAGTTTCACATAAGCTAGACAATTTAAAGCTTACAAGTTACAATTAACAATTAGTTGCGCCCTTCCGCTTTCACATAAAAATTGGAAAAGATTTTCAGTTTGACTTGAGCAGCTCCCTTTGCGTGCATTCCTGTAAACCTTACTCATGCGTAGCGTTCTACTGGCTCAGTACTGTAAGTACACTTTTTAAACCTTTATATTGTTATCATCAAGACATCGTAGCGTAAAACGTAGTACTGTGGCTCGCTAACTTTCCACGAAGTACTCTAATCGCGCCGATCTAAACTCAATCAAAAAAGGCGCAGACCGCACTTTGCTTACCATTTACAGCCCTTAAGGAAATTATTTGCAGGTTTTCCCTTCCCGTATTCATCCGCCACATGGGTGAGGTAGGGCGGACGCGAAAAATCATACAACGACACCGCAGCATTCCCAACAGCGGCTGCGTCCTCCGTCTCCGTCATGATTTCTCCACCGGTGTCTTCTTCAGCATCTGGGCCGTCGTCGTTCCCGTCGTGCCCTCGATATCCGCGAAACCGGCGGGGAACTTGACTTCGTAGTTGCCCTTGTCGTTCAGGCGTCCCTGGAGGACTCCGAAGCGCAGCACGCGATCCACTTGGATAGCGACTTTAATCAGTTCCAGCACTTTCTCCTTATCCGTTTCCTCACGGTTCTTACGGATTTCGTCCTTAATCTCGTCCTTGGCTTTGCAGCGGGCGTAGTGGTCGTCACCGAAGACGGAATCAGTGGTGCGAAGCAGCTGGCGGTATATAGCGAAGACCTGTCTGCGAAGGGACATTTGGCCAGAAATCAACTGAAACAGTCCGACTCAAACTCAATAGACACGCAAAGATGATATGTCAAAACAAAACACCACCAAAATCGGATCGGATTCTAACTGACCAAAAATTGGAAAGCGCTGATAAACTTCTGCAAGTAACAAGATGCAGTTTTTCTAAGGTTCCAAAGTCACAAGTGAAAATCAACAGACAAAATAAAACTGAAATAAAAAGGATAAACCAAAAATTGTCCAAAATTTCCCAAACATCGAAAATTTCTTGAAGTATCACAGTACGACTTCCAATCAGCAGCACTTCCAGCGGAAGTGCTAATGGAATGCTTCGCATAAAGCCAGTCGGAAATGGAACCGGATGCTTGCTGTCAGCTGTCAACTGGGCCACTGGCTACTCAGTCGCTGTTTTCCAAATTTTCTTAAATTCTATTGACCCCACTTCAGTGTAATTTTTAATTTATTTAACTGAAGAAATACCTTTTTATTAAAGGCTTCCCGGATTAAATAAAGCACTTAGAGTTCAGGCACACAGGCTGACACAGCTACAAAGTGCCGGCACGAAATGGGGAATGTGAGAAAGAAAGCGGTGAAAACTTAATGGAATTGGACGAGTCAGATAATACAGCCACTGCCCAACCCACCTGTCAAACGTTAAGTTACGGCAACGGCACTACGGCACACCTTGCGTTTTCATTCCATCCAGGCTCCAGCAGTGACAGACGCGTAGATCCTGAAATGTGTAATATCATCCACGGTTTGTTGTCATTAGCGTCCCGATTATTCAAATTCCTTTAGCTAAACATACTCAACGCGACTTAACGATGATCATCGTTCCCATTACTACGTAATTGGTCTTTTCGTCACTGCACTGGCGAAAAATACTCCACATTTCGTTAAACAGCCGGTTGTGTTGATCTGCTTCCGAAATTAATCCTGCCTTCCAGCCATGGCTGCTGCCAAGCCGATCGTCATAGTGCCTCATAATCCCACGGATGAACTCTACCCTGAGGAAGAGGAGATGCCCCATCCCTACACATCGCGGCCCATCGGCGAAGTGCAGCCGAAGAAAGTCGTCGAGGCCGATTACGATTCAGGGCGCGCCTGGCTGGTCCTTGCGGCCGGTTTCCTCACTAATGTTCTTGTCTTCGGAGTCGAGTTGAATTTCAATGTTTTCATGAGGCCGCTGCTAGAAGAATTCCCGGCCCATGATGCCAGTGATGTGGCGTGGATTGGAGCCATTTCCTATGGAGTGATGTTTTTAATCGGTGAGCTGTGATAATTTTGATTAGTAAATCAGGTGATAACATATTTCTAATTTAATAAAATAAAAATTCGAAAATTATGTATCCTTGTGTTGCACAGGTTTTATTCGTAAAACTATGAGCTTAGTTTCGTGATTTTTTTTAGTTTGTTTGACCGACGAATCTTAAAGGAATTAGTACTGGGAGTGAATTTTTTGCTGGATAGAGTTGTTAAATTTGAAAAAAACTAACGATGCCTTGGCCCTTGGCGAAAGTGTTTTGCTGATAAACCATTTGAATGGCGACAATAATGACACAAACGACGTGTGATAATGGCGTATTTTGTAGTCGGTCTGATATCAGCATGATGTAAATTTGAAGTACCGCGGTGTGATGAAAGTGTATTTACTTTGGCGATGAGTGATTACATTGACAGAGCGATAAACGTATTTGCGCTACGGTGTTTAGTAATTATGGTTGAAGTACAGTATCGCTTTAATGAAATGCTTCGGTTTTGCGCTGCAGAAGATGTTTGTATTGGTTGTCTCCCACTGTTAGCAAAAAATTTAAGATAGAATTTTTCGACCAAAAATTAAATAAGGGAAATTTTTATATTGTGGTATTTATAGAAAACAGCACAATATGGTTTACGAAGATAATGGAAAATACGAGGTAACGCAACTTATCCGTCATAATGAAAACTAACTGAAGTGAATATCATTTGTATTTTTAGTTGTGATATTTTCAGTGTGAAAGTACGCGATATAAGGAACCTTTCTTAGGCTCTGTAGTGTAATGTAGTCTGCACACTGCAGTTTTAAGGCGATCTTAAGTGTCAACCATATAAAACAACATCAGTGGTTTTTATGGCATTTTCCAGATTTATTGCTTTTACGGCTGTTTTGCAATTACAGGTCCCTTGGCCAGTTTACTCATATCGCGAGTTGGCACGATGTACGCAGTGATAATTTCCGGCGTGTTATCCTGCCTCGGTTTTCTCTCATCACGGTTTGCCACCGATGTGTATTATCTTTACATCAGCTATGGATTGCTTGTTGGTAAGTTTACGACTTGACACATGGATACAAGCTAAACGAAAGCGTACATTTTGAAGAAAATTAATCAAAATGATCTTATAGTGTTAGGTGTTAACAGCGAATTCGAATACTTTCGTATTCTTAATTTTTGTTAGCTTACTTGTGCATCGTTCAGCATGAAGTCATGCTGGTGCATCGTTGAAGATAAAATTCGGTGCACGCATTTCGTAATGTAATAATCTGTTTTAGGAGCATTATTTTGATTGAGAAACGGAGTTTTCAGTTATTGGTTAATGGCTTCGGTTCTGTGTTTCTTGTTAAGATTTAGTATTCGCTGTTTTTGTCTGTGCTATTGCATGGTTGAGTCACTCACTTGATATCTACCGGTTTAATCGTTTTAAAGCGGTAAATGAAAATTGAAATCTTGCGGTAATTATTGTGTGTACTTTTATCAAATCATGCGTAACACACATTTTAATTGACTAACTCTTAAACACGAAAATGGATTTGCTTCTTTTGATTGCGACTTTGCCCTGCGGTGACAGGTCTGCTGTGTAATGCCGTCCAGTAGGCTTAATTAGCGGCGTTTTCATATATTTTTTAGGTTCCGGAATGGGAATCGCTTTCCTCTCTAGCTTCGCCATTCTGGGCGACTACTTCAAGCAGTACATTCGACTGGCATCCATTGTCGTCGCCGTGGGCGGTGGAGTGGGGCTGTTCTTGTTCACAAAGCTGTTCCAGCATTTTGTTGAAGATTATCTTGGTGCGTTATGAATTGATGTCATCTCATGAAACCTGTTGGGTTTTTTTGCTTTATTTTTGTATCCGTGTCTAACAATAAGTTGTGATTGTATACCGGTAATGTTAAAGATCAAAATATAATTTTCGATGTGTGTGTTTTTAAGTTCACTGTATTTTGTATTATATTTCTTTAACATATAGCATTTAACATAGGTACTTCATCTATAATCTATATCGTCTCTGTTATGTACGAGTAATTTGCTGAATAATTAGCTTAAATTGATTAAATTAGCTTGTTTATTAGTTGATTGAATTTGTATAAGATACTCGTACTAATTTTGATTGCCGGGAACATGGAATATTTTTTATTGACGCTTATCAAAATTAACCTACGTTTCCCAGAATGGATCTAGTTGAAGATACGTGGATACGTTCATTCTTGGTTTATTGAAATTAATGTTGCAAATTGCAGGCTGGCGGGATGCCATGTTGATAACCGCCGGCATCTGCTTGAATCTCATCCTCTTGGGCATCTGTATGCGCCCGCGTCCCCGTGATCCTTCCGTCCGACTGCCGACACTCACCGAGCTGATGGCCACCCATGTCCTGAAATCCAGCAAATATTTGCTCTTTCTCAGCCATGTAGTCCTGTGGAATGTCGGTTTAGTGATTGTCTTTATCCTGCTGCAAAAGTATTTATCGGAGTACAAGTTCCTGGATGATGATCAGGCCAATTTTGTGGTGATGATGCTGGGCATCGCCAATACCGTCGGCCGGGTGGCATCCATTCCGGTGGAACGCGTGGCCAGTCCCATGAAAGTGTACGTCATCATGTCCATCCTCATGGGAGTGTTCGAGATGCTGCTCCCGTCGGGATGGGATGTGGCCGGGTTGGCCACTATTAGTTCCTTGCTGGGCCTGAGTTTCGGGATTATGGTACGCATACCAATGCTTCTATAGATTTTAGCTGCATTCTGTTATAATCTGGACGAATTTAAAATGAAGATTGAATGAACCGGTACAAGTAGAAATGCTTTAAGTATTTCTGCTTTTACCAGCTTCTACGATTTTAGGTAAATAATTACCGTAGAGACCGACCACACGGTTGTGAACATGGGCTTCTTAATTCTTGCAGATTTGCTATTTTGTTGCCGTTGTGGGTGAGCTGGTCGGCTTCGAGAATCTGACGCCAGCCTTGGGATACTCGAATTTTGCACAGGGCATTGGTGGGCTCATCGGGCCACCTACTCTAGGTAAAGCATGCAAAATTATGTAGTTTTTCTGAACGCGGTAATTACATCCCTAGCGGAAGTCCGTTTAGTTCTTATTTCGATATACTTCGCGGAAGTGAAGTGGTATTGGCGGTAACCAAGATTTATAGCCGAATTTTATAGTTTTCTTAAATTTCTTCATGGTGATATATGTTAAAACTGCATTCATAGTCTCGTTATATGGATGTCGTACTGAAACGGTTTTGTGGTCTCCGCTAGGGTTGTTAATGGTGCAATTTGGTGCGGTGCGGTGCAGCCGCGGTGCGATTTTTCTCTAAAATCGCACCGACTCTAGTGGTGATTTCTTATAATTTTCACCGCCGTTGCGGAGCGGTTTATAAAACCGCACCGCGGTGTTTTTCACCGCACCGCACCGATGCACCTCGGTGTCCACCGGTTACGTTAAAATATAGTAAAATGGCTAACAAGTTTAAGTAAAACAAGCTATTTTTGCTGAAACTAACGAAAAACGACACCCAAAACAATGATTTGTTCACTCATTACATGCGTCCATGCAAAAATTTGTGGAAAACAGCTCAAAAATCCGAGAAGTTAAACCAAAAAATCATTTTTTCTGTACATTTTTATCGTTTTTTTCCAGTACTTTTGACACCGGTGCACCGTCGATTTCACCGGTTTCGAACGGTGTGACTTTTTCCTCGCACCGGTGGAGGTCAGTACAAATTTTTCCCAAAAATCGCACCGACTACATGAACTTTTCCCCGAAATTTCACCGCGATTTTCTCGAATTTCACCGGTGCACCGGTGCAAAATCGCACCGTTAACAACCTTAGTCTCCGCTGTTATAACCGAAATGCGACGCTAATTGCGAATGATGCTTATTGAAGATACAGATACTCGTACTGTAGATATTTCAATTTTTTGCCATATGGGTACAATGTATTTATATTTTTGATTTCGGCGTTTGGGCAGTCACCGATGGTCAGGGTTGATAGAAGTTGCATAACGAACAAACTATTATCATTCCAGAATTAATTTTGTCCGTGTTGAATCTTTTTTAGCGAAATTGGCGGACGGGTCGAAATTTATCGTGGGTGGAGCGATTACGGTGATCTCGGGACTGCTTGTGCTCTTGGCCATCGTCAAGCACTGGCGGGATACGGTAGCGTCACGCCGGACGGGAGCGCTGTCCGTCGAAAATGGACTATATAATCGGCATTCAGAGTTCGACCGAGCCGACACCGCCATGACCTAAGGATTAAGCTGCACAACGGTTTTTTACTTTGATGGCAACGGTGTGTTTCTTACCTGTGAATACGGACTGGTGGAGAAAGTCCATATTTTACTACTCGTCTGCAGAATTTCAGAGCAAATGTATTTGTTTTTATATGTCTTATGTTTTCTAAATATTGTACATCTGTTTGAACGGAAATAGTTGTCTTCGCAGCTTTCCGGTTATTGTAACGTAAGCTGACTTTAATTTGTTACGTGAGAAGAAAACTGAAGCTGGGTTTTGTGTGTGTATAAAGCTGTCATAAAAACGAATGACAAACTCCCTGAAACAATTCAATGGTTTTATCATTCTGATTGATACACGTCAGTACTGTATGTATTTTCAAGCCCTATATTCCCTCCTTTTGAGGCAAGTATCAAGATTTAGAATACTTCTAGGCTCGTAACGCACATGAGGCTTTCTAGGTTAACCTGTACAGCATTATCTTTAATCTATCCGATTTCATTTACATTTCACGAAAACGTTCACGCTGAAAAATTGAAAGGGAATTGAAGAACTTCCGGCGCTCACAGCAACTGCAACCGCCGAGTTTGGCAGCGTAATGCAGTTTTTATATGGTAAGTTTCCGACAGTCCCCATTCTTTGCCTTTTGATTTTGCCCACAAGAATTTTTTTCTGCGGTTGTTCACTAAAACCTAAGAAAAAGTCGTGGGGAATCATCTATTTTCAAAGTGGAAACTATATCGTCGAAACCCGCGTAATCCCAGCTATTTTTAATTCAATTTTAATTTAATTTGAGTCAGTGCAGGTAGCCCATATCCGGCTAGGATGATAGCTATCATGGGATTTTAAACTAATCTGCCTTTCCGATAGAAAGATGCAGCGTATTGAAAGTAAATGGAACGTGAAACAGTCAAAAAGGAAATACTTGTAGATGTTCCTCTTCTTTTACAAGCCATTCGGGTCGAAAAAAGAGGTATTAAAATTTCGGTCTATTCTTTCCTCGTACAAAGCCAAATGTAAAGGCACAATTTATTTATTACCCATTTTGTGGCTCATGTTTTAGAATGTTTCCAAATTTAATAATTATTGTTAATTTTAAAGATCGAAGTCGATTCAAACATAAAACGAAATTCATCGAACCATTATAAAAAAAATCCCAGCTCCACCCAATTTTCACATCAAACCAAAGACTTTCAACGCATTCTGCGTCGTGCTCATAGCTACCACACCGGGCACCGTCTTCATATAAGCCGCGACCATCTCCACCGTCACCGGCAGCGAGCACGGCTCATTCCGCTGAAAACTACAATACCGGTTCAGCCAGCCGGTGCTCTGCTCGGTCAGCGCCTCCCGTATGGGTTTGGGCACCTTGGAGGCTTTGACGTTGGGGAACATGTAGGGCGCGTCGGTCTCCACCAGCAGCCGATCCAACGGAATGATCCGTTCCTCCAGGATACAGCGCACGCCGTCCACGGATTTATCCTTCCACAGGAATCCGGTTAGACCGATGTAGAAACCCAGATCTAGGTAACGTTGTACTTCCGCCTTGGTGCCGGTGAAGCAGTGGATGACGGTGGGCGGGAGTTGGCTGCGGTACTGCAGGAGGACTTTGAGCAGGGCGTCGCTGGCTTCCCGTTCGTGGACGAACAAGGGCTTCTTTAGCTGGCAGGCTAGTTGGACTTGCTTCTCGAAGACGCTGATCTGGGCGTCCTGGGGGAAAAGTTGCGGTTGAAGTCTAAACCACATTCACCTACAACAAATTCTTAATGAAAAGGACGCCCGCCAGTGATAAATATAATTTAGCGAAGATAAATTATTGTCTAAAGATAACACTTTTAAGTTGGCCATTTAACGTAGGTACCTGTAAGAACTGCATCAATAAATAACCATAAATCGATGCCTTCCGACTCGCTTTTACAAGGAGCCCCAAAAGTGTGACCTCAATAATGTTCATTACCTGAATAATACTGCCTTAAAAATAGTAAAATCAGAAGTACCGTCAAGACACCGGAGCATAACTGGCACAGTACAAGTCGGGACACTATGGGCTCGAAGACATGCCGCTCAATTACGATTTCATCACAAAGTGCTGTGCTAACGGCGTACGGTGTGCAATAGCAATACTTACAGTACTACTTTACTTTATTGCAGCAGTGTTATACTGAACATATCGTACTATTAGCATTTCTTTTAATATGCATCAGACCATAATTAAACAAAAGCAAATTATCAGTGCAGCAATACGCAGTACTGCTTTAGCTCACCTCACAAAATAGTTGCTGTTCAGACAAAAATCTGCGTCAAAGCGAATTTCAAATAGTCATTAAATGATCAATTCATTCAAATAAAGTAAATGCATTCAAACAAAATAAATCATTGTTACGCGATTTCCAAACGAATTCTTATTAAAATAATCTCAGAAATCAAAATTAGCGTAAAACCTATGAGATCATTCACTCACAAGTCACAGTCACAAAGAAAGCTTCATTCATCATGTCTAGATATCGACCGGAAGTGTGCCGACTCACCGATAGCGACGCACTCGGGGTTCTTGGCCAGTTCGATGATATTCTCCGCGCACGTATCATCCCAGTCCTTGGCTTCGTGCGGATGAACACCGGCCGTAGAATATAAATGATTCGGGTATAATCTTGATAATCTCAACGCTAAAAAGCACAGCAAAAAATCCCATCAATCACTATCATGACATTTTATACCTCCACCGTATCCCAGTTGTATGAGGTATGAGTACAACTTAGAAGAAAGTTATCAGTTATAAGTTATTACTCAAAAATAACCAAAAAAACTATTATAAAAAAAAACTAAAGGGTGCGTACTGTACGAGCATAAACAATACGGACACGGCAACGATCAGGTAAACGTAAACGGTAAACCAAATACTTTTAAAAAATTTTTAAAGTTAAAAACGATGAGAACAGTATCCGCAAATTACCGCAATCGATTAGCAGCTAGCTGCAGAATCATATTTTTTTTATATAAAATTAAAAATAGTATAAATAAAATACCAAAGACGAACTAGTACGCGCAACGGCACAAAGTACTTACGATTAAAATTTAAATAATCTACAAAATTAAAACGTAACAAAACCATCAGATTGCAAAACAAATTTTTATAGGTACTTGTCAAGTTGGCAGTCTGATTCTGAACTTTTTACAGATTCATTTACAGACAAAAAAGAGCTTCATTAGAAAATCAGTATAAGGATTTTCCTCTGAATATTTAAAAAAAAGTAAATAGTGTCAGACGTTCACGGTTTACAGTCTTAAAGAATCCAAACTGTCGAAGCTTCTACAGCTATACTTAAAAAGCAGCCAAACTCACCGTCTTTACTGCTCTCAATGGACGATCCAGTGACCATAATCTTAAAAACTCCGGCCTCCGCGGCCCGTTCCACCACTTGATCGAGTTCCCGGCCGAATTTCCCACTGGTCAGATTGGCCCCAATGTCGACCAGTTGGTAGAGGGGTTTAGTTGGCGAATGCAGGTTCGCCATGGTGGCTCGCTGGTGTCTGAATAAGCTGATCGTGCGTGGCCAGACTCCGATGCAAATGCAGTGCAAGACACCCCGACGTGCCAGCGCCAGATTAATCACCGTAAACAGACGCCACTTGCCAATGTGGTCTAATTAATCTTTTAAACTTTCCCCCACTGAGAAATCAGGCCAGAGGAGAATAGCGTAAGTAGACGCGACGCGGAGAATGTTTTCTCATAACGCAGCTGGACCGTAAATAAACAGTTCCAGATGATGGAATTTCTCATTTTTCACCAGACTGATTTCGGCAGATTAACCGTTCACAATTAGCGTAATCGGCGCGAGCGACAGTGGTGCACGGCCAAATGTCCGGTAACAGCTTTCACCGCGAGACGGACTAACACATAGTAACGATAAGTAGCAGTATGACTGTGTTTTTCACTTTTTTCTAATGTGTCTGTTTAATTAAAATTCCGTTAATTTTGTACTGTGAATGGGAAAAGTAATGAGGTAACGATTAAATACGTTTTAAATTATCGATTATCGTTATTATGTCAAGATTGTGCATTTGATAATAACCACAAGTCTGAAATGTGCAATGTACAGTAAGTAATTAAGTAAAAGTCTCCACGACGAGACAAAATTTAATGACTATAGATACTGTAAACTCAAAAACTCAAAGTCAAAAATTAATGCTGAAAACAGTGCAAGAATAGCGCGGAGGCGTATTTATTAAGTAACTGTGTTTTGATAATTAGCCAAGCGCTAGCTACTGTATAAATTTAACAAGTTATTTGTTAATTGTTAGTATAAAACAATACCGCACTGGACACATTGCCTAAACGAGTGCATGCTAAAAAACAGAAAATTATTACGTATTGTACGTGCAATAGATACTCGTAATAAGATCATTTCCTAGATCTAATAACTGGGAATAGGACTGTTAATGTATTTTATCAACCGCAGCGCAGCAAACCGTAGATCCAAATGCCATTCATTGATGAAACAGCGGCAAAATTATGTAATTACAGAAGGTTAACAATAGTACGATTTACTCTCATACGATCATCCCAAATATCACTACCGCATGCGGAGTCGTTTAGACTTTTAACAATTGTAAAGAAATTGCAAAGAAAACATGTAACAAAGCTTACGATCTTTGCATACATATGACAAGATTTTCTAGACACTACTCGTAGGTAAGTCTGGAAAGGTATCTCGAAATCAGTGCTGTTCAAAGACCGGAACTAACAAAACGTCATAACAAAAAATACAGCACTGATGATAAACAAATTGCTTACAAAAACATCAACCTTTAACAACGAAATAACAAAGAGAGCATGCGACAAACCTAATCCGGTGAGGCGTTCCTCGAAGGCATTATGACCGGCCGCAGTCAAACAAGAGAGTAAGTTTTAAACAATAACTGGAACCAACTGACTTCTATATATGTGCAGTCATCAAATCAGGTTCTCTTTCGCCGGCAACGAATAGACCACCTCCACCACTTCATATACCGGAGTGAGATCATGCTCTTTACACTGAGCTTTACGTGGATATTCCCGACGGAAACGCAGGGCGCGCCGGCACTTCTCACCGCGCTCGCACCGGCGGACCATACACAGAGCATCCTGATAACGCAGAAACCGGACGGTCTCTTCCGTCTTATCCCCGGCGCTCTCTTTATCCCCGTACCCGGAATCCTGATCGCGCTCGTTGGCCGCGATGAATGCCGATCCGTTCCAGCGACCATAGTAGATGACCTCGGTCTCCGGCGTGGCGACGGTGAGCTGTCCGGCACCGGCCTTTACGATGTCCACTGCAACTTCGGTGCCGGTCACCACTGCGATGTCAGCAGCAGCCTCGGTGCCGGTCTCCATTGCGACAGCTGCAGCTTCGGTGCCGGATCCGGACGGACTGGGTGCCTTCTCTTCCTGATGCGCGGCGCAGACGGGCGTCGAAGGGGCGCTGAGCTCCGGGCCATCCCCGTTAAGCGCTTCCGTGCTCCATGATGGCTCGAGTAAAGGAGTCGCTGCTGGATCGTCACCCGGATACTGCACCGCCTTTACCGAGATCGCCTTCGCTGGTTTGTCTATTGTAAGGAAAATATGTTTACGAGTATCCATAATTCCACAGCCACGTAAAACCTGCGTTCGGATGCAATCAAAGTTCCCTTGGTTTTGGTTTTGATAACGAAATTACGAAGCCTTATATGCTCGTCTGATACAATCATAAATTCAATTTCAAAACAAAAATATGATTATTCGGGTAACGATGGTTGACTACTGTTTTAATACTAGTACCAATAGTAACATATCTATCATATACGATACACAATACATACACCGGCTTTACTGTATTTCCTAATACAAACATAACTACTTCTGTGGATTCAGAATTAAGGGGCACAGTTATCAGTTATTATCTATACGAGTACGAGTAGTTACTTATGTGAAACGCCAAACAAACCTAAATACCTACATAGAGTGACTTGTATCTTCGATGCCTTGTAAAAATTGCGACTCGTGCAGTAGTGAGTAGGCAATAAATTACAATATCAGCATAACAAACTGTGTGCAGATTGAAATTTTAACTGATAAATGAATAACTTCAACGTGATCCAGTACACCAACATCCAGTGGACCAATGCGTATTGCAGAAATTCAGTGCGAAACGCAAAACCTAGCCTGAACAAGGGAAGGAGGAGAGTCGAATTAAACGACATTTTACTGTTGTGACAAACTACAGCGTTCGTTCCTGTTTAGTAATAAATATTATGTATCGACAGAAATTTTTCAAATGAATTTTGACTTAATTGCTGTATTATAGAAGGTGATTACAGTAGGTGTCATAAAATTTATTATTTTTATTATCGTGCCGCAAGCGGGATTCTGTTGCAATAATAATAAATTAAATGTCTTCTGCAATAACTGCAGAAGGGGATAAATAAATCGCCATATTAGGTGATCCAGTACACTTGCCACGTACAAATCTCTTTAGAAAACCGGTATTAATTAATAGCTTTAATTAACTACTTGGTGATAACATAATTACCGGTTTCCAAGCCTTTCTGGCAGGTTTCCTTCCCATTGCGTTTGCCCGTCTGGACTATGGTGCCATCGTCACGCCCGTCAACACCGGAGCAACAGGTGAACCACGATCCAAAAGCCCGCTTCCACCAAGCTTTCTTTGGTGGTTTCGACCCTTTCCCCTTTGGGCCTCCATTGAGTAACACCGCATCTGCAAAATAAACCCATATTTACGATTTATCTATAGGAAAAACGGCACCAAGAATCAGTCTGTCTGCTCTATTCAAAGTTCTGCATTCGGCTGTTCCTCTGGCTCTAATGCATATGTAGACACACTGTACAGACAGAGTCACACGTAGTCTCGTTTTACAAAATTACATCATCGATGACTAATGACTCACCACTGGCATCTATTTTTGAAAACGGGGCTTTTTCAATTCTCGGTTTACAGTATACGAATAAAAAGATTAGCCCTCGATAATAATCTCCTAACTGATGGAAATCCAAGGACTTTTAGTTTTATAAACCGTACTTGATACTTATAATGGTTGGAACTTAAAGGTCAAAAACGGTACGAAGCTTTTCATGGAATCATGTTATTCCTTACTTCTTTTGATTCCGTTTGATGTTTTATCCATGTTAATTTTGACCTCACAATCCACGAATATCTCTTTGTACTTCTTGTGCAGAGAATATGTACGAATATGGCACGAATGTTTTGCCCAAATACTGATCAACGGCAATTACAGAACGATCGATTATTCCTGTTATCTGTGATCCAGCTCCATAAAACGCCGGAAATCTGTCCTAGTGTTATAAAATTGTGAGACACCGAATGAGACTGTACCGGGCACGAAGGAAAAACTGATCGTGCTAGAGAAGAACGCCAGCGACTAGCGAGGAATGCGCGAGAACAATGGGAAGACGATCTCGAACGCGTAAATAAGCTGGCTACTGTCTGGGCGTGAGCGCTTGCCAATTTTTGGGCTATTGTATTATGGGAGCGCATTTTAAATCGCATGCCACTTTGTGTGTCTATTCCTGTGTACAGCTACACGCCGGCGCAACAGGTACATTCCATAGAAATCTGGACGACGCTTTTGGGTTGCTTGCGCTTATTATCCGTGCCTAGTATAAAAATAATAATTAATTGTAATACAAATAATAATTAATCAATATTAATTAGTTGTTGCGCTTATTAACCGTAATTTTGCCTTTTTAAGAATAATAGTGTGCAATAGCATCAGTTTTCAGGCAACATAGTCTAACCGTAATAATTATGCAAATTTTAGATATTTAATTAATTTAATATCTGTTAGTTCTGCTAATTGCAGTTTGAATTCTCTTTCCATATAGATGTTACTCCTATTCAAAAACATAGTACGATACAGATGACGAACATGACCAATATTAATATTGACCATACTGACTTAAGAACATGAGAAATTTGCAACGTACAGTATTTAATTTTGATATTTAAAACAGTAAAACATGAATCTTTTCGCTGTAAATGTAAAATACTCAGTGCGCATTACAGAATATTGCATTTCAGGATTACTTATTGCTGGCAATTTTGTTAGGTGTTCTTCTTTTTCTCACGAATATAATGATTATGTATATACATGGATCACCGCAGGTACAAACTGTGTGGACTTAATTTTTCTCGCGATCGAAGACATTATAATTAATTACTGTACATTAGTGTGCCCGCGTTATCATTTTTTGGAAGTGTAATGGCTTCTGTCCATTAAAGAATTAACAGATATGAGTTATGCGTAGGATGTGTAATGTAAAATTAGCCGATAATTTAAACGGTGTATTAAGATAATATTTAACCAGTGCAGCTTGCGGTATTATTATGTATGCGGTATGTGTAATAATTTATTCAATTTGAATTTCTATGAATAAGTTAGTTTTTAATATACTGTATAACGATCAATTTTTCAGACAGGAGACTCACTGCCAGCAGCTAATAACATAAACAAGGCATTTTTAGCGACGTTAACAACGAGCGCCTCACACACATGTAATAACGCGGTGAAAGCTAAAACCAGTGCCATTTATGGTGAAAGGTCAGCCGATGTTAGCTATTAGAAAACTTGGCATTGCAGGTGGAATGATGCCGGTGCGCTGCGTCTATCGCCAGTAGGGTCCATATCCATATCCGCCCCATGGTCCGCCGTAACCGAAGCGTCCGAATCCGTATCCACCATATCCACCCCATGGTCCGCCGAAGAAGCGACCACCGTAGAAGCCGCGTCCGCCGTAGAAGCCACGACCGCCCCACCACGCGTCCACACTCACAACGGCCACCAGGGCCACCAACAGCAGCAGAAGGATCTGGAAAAAGGAATTTGTTGGTTTTGACAATTATTAAAGGGAATTCGCAACGCTTGAAAAACCATTGATTTACTTTCTGATGTAATACTGCTTTCTAATTTAATAATGATTTATGATTTGAATGCATTTTTGTGAGCGATGCCCGTCTCTGCAAATATTGCGAATTAAAAAGTTATTTATTAATTGTTTTTTTATAAAATTTTCTACTGCAATTTACCCAGAATACAAGTATTAATCTAAATGCGATGCACTGTGACCGTGTGACGAGCTGGTAAAGGATAAAATTCTAAAACCCGCAAAGCTTTCGAGCATTCATTAAATATTTTAAAACGGTTTTCACTTGCCTATAATTTTTCTTAAATGGATCGAAAAAAATTAATGTGAAAATAAGTACAGTACGTTAAGACGAGACTCGTTTACGATATGACTTACCGCTTTCATGGAGAACATGTTGACTAAAGGTCACAGACGGTGGAATACTATATATACAAGCCCAACGTAAAGCTGCGATAAGAAATCTATATAAAATCCGGTGTAGCACAACTATCGCGACTGGTGAAATGTCCTGCCAGCTAATGACTTTTATAGCTGGCTGGACTGTATGACCAGGACATTGGCAATGAAGTATCACGCTGACAAGCAGAATCTGCGATAGCCCGAAACGGTTTCACTGCAGAATCCACTGAATACATTGGGGTTGGAGATGCGGATGTCGGTTCAATGGGGCTTTGTCAGTTGTTTTTTTGCTGGGTATACTGACGGCACAGCGTCGTATCCTGGAAGTAATCTGTGTATATGTGTTAGTGTTCTGTTTTCCCCGGTTTCATAAACGCATTCGCCGTAGCACAGATTTTGTAAAGCAGTTGAATGGCTGACATAATGACAACAACACGTTGACTGTTGGTGTGCTTGCAAGTCATGCTATGTAATTAATCCCGAAAAAATACCAAAATCTGGGTATCCCGCGAAAAATTAACACAACTCGCAAGTAAATGCAGTCACATTTTAAACGACGCCTGAGTATTGCAATGTCCAATTTATTCTTAGTAATATTGTAATTGTACTTTAGTTTACCAAACTATAATATTCGACGCCAAAGTCAGCAGCAAAGGAAACATTATGGTTGTATTACAAATGAATTGTACTCAAAATGAGCGCTAGAAAATCGCGGCTTAAAATTGCAAACGCGAATCAACTGGAGCAATTTCGTCAGGCATTTTGGCTCCCACAACCAGTATCACAAATTGACAATATAATGATATCCGTGTCCAGACAACAGCGTCGGACGACGGAGAAAAAAGTAAATTAGTTAAATAAATATTCGACACATCAAATGTCTGATATTACATGAAGTTTCTCATGGTCAGTTTCACAAAACGAATGATCTGGCAGCAAAATTCATCCAGTAGGGCGATGTCTGAGCTATTCCTTAGTTTTCATAGGCGCCACGCCGAGCTGACGAGCCAGTTCTTCCGCATGCCGGATCTGGTTGACATGATAAGGAATTCCGCCCAAAGAATCGCATTTCCGAAGGTGAGCCCTTTCGGGATCGCCGGCCACTTGCACGGGCCGCGACGGATCCGACTACAATAATTTAATTAAATAAATGTATAAAGCGTTATATTTTGGAACAAACAATTGGAATTTTATTACTGTACCATACAAAGAAAACCGATTTTTAAATGTTCAGTACAGTTTCTTACCGGTTCCAAATGGCGCAAAATGTTCACAAACGCTTGCAATCGCTCTTTAAATCCATCCGCAAATCGTCCCGGGTCGATAGCCACAAATCCTTGACCCTATTCAAGAAAAGGAACATGCTGCTGTAATTTACGATAACGACGTCCACTATCCAGGAACCTTATTCAAAACATCAAATAAAGATTGTTTGCAAGAGTATTTTTATTCGAAATCTCATAATCAGAAACAAATGCTTTTTTTTGAAACAAATGAAACAACCTCATAATCGGAAACAAATCAGAAACAAATGTTTCAGAAACAAAGGGACATTTTCTCAAATTTAGGGCTGTCAAATAGTAAAACAGCGAGCCTGGTATTTAGAACGAATTTACCAGATTAGCCGCTCCAACGGGATGCGTCCACGATCGAATATTCGGTCCAAAGGCGGCATCCGACAATATTCCACATAGGATTTCTACCATTACATTCAGACCGTATCCTTTGTATCCGCCTGTATTTTCCGCTCCTAAAACCAAAAACAATGGACTATTAATCGCACAAATACAAAGGACAAAAAAATTGCGACGGAAAAACGTTAAATAGCATTTATTCCATATCAATTTCCATATCAATTCAAACACATGGTTAACAGTGTCTGCCTGTAAACTAATGCAAATAGAATAAACGGATATGATAAACCAAAACTGTACTCGCGTAGCTATTAAAAATGCGCTTCCATCGATAACGAAGGAAAACAACAACAAAAACATGAGGAGTATTCTAACTATGATAGGATTAACAATCAAAGCAATTTTACCGCCTAGAGGCAACAATCCTCCGCCGTGGAAGATCTTCTCCGGATCCGTGGATTCGTGGCCATCCTTATCTAACCCCCATGAACTAGGAACCGGCTGCTCTTTGCGCATAGCAATTTCCACCTTCCAATCAGTATAGCTCATGTTACACGCCAGCAAATCGCGAAAATACAGTAACTACTGACAAAAAAAACAAAATGCAATAGAACTCATGAGTATTTGTACTAACAAGTGCTGTAAGAAATTAAGAATATAGTAATTATTATGTTCTATTCATCACGCACCTTACCGATGGCAACGGTGGTAGTCGCCATATCCAGCACGAAATCGTCACCATTAACACCCGGTGCGGCAAAACATATCGGATTCGTACCCAAGGTTTTCTAAAGAAATCAACACACGGTCCACACTGCCCAAAATATTTCGGGGAGGAAAATTATGTGCTACATAGGTAACACGAAGGCGTGAATTATATATGTAGTAGTATAAAACAAGGCTATGGATAAAGTAATTGTTATGACGTCCCAGTCTGTAGGCATCATCAACGAGCTGTATGACTAACGTAAACACCGCCAGTTGGAACGCAGAATGGACTTGTATTGGTGAAAGACATCCCGATCATTCCTTCTTTACAGGCCTGAAGACCATAATAACCCGCGATACCGTAATGATTGGATGCTGCCAACAGTAAATGGAACACAAAATTAGCTGACTTTAAAACATAAGCAAAAAATTTATTATTTATCAGTAGAGAAAGTAGCAATTTTTCTGCCGTGTCACGGCTACTTTTTTTGTATTACCCAGTGGGAATTAACTATCTCCGATTACTCGATGTTTAATTCGCACAACCATAATTGTTCACGAAATTATAAGTTTTAGGAAATTAAATGTTGAAAGTCTCTAAACTTTCTGTCAAGACCTTGAACACAGTCCGAACAAAAGTCAAACCGGGTTACACGAGCAAGTTTGCATTAGATAAAACTAAGAAAAATATTTCTCAAACATAAAATTTCACTTTCTCATGTAATATAAGTCCATATCCAGATAGCTATCACCGTGGTTATCGTGAGAAAAAAATAAAATATTAGAAATTCTATGCAGTAAATGAAACTACCGTCGCAGTAAGAGAAAAAACAAATATGTTGTAACTCATTTTGCTTCAATATGCAATGAAATTAAGAGGACGATCCCAAAATAATCATTTTCCTACCGTTGGCAGCCACCCAGCCGACACCCGATTCCTTGGCTTTCCGAATCGCCACAGCCATGGCAAATCGCCCAACGACTGGACCTGCAGCGGGAAAAACACTAATGAAAATTTAAAAAAATCAACGTACAAATCATCGAAAAACATGTGAAGAACGCCGCTACAATTCTAATCTAGCGAAGGTATTATACAAGATGAAATAAATGAATACAGTATTGTCAGAAAAATTAAACTAGAAAATGAGACAGTACCGAGCAAGTTCTGTCCGTCAATCAGAGCGGTGGACGCGGATTCCTTAACAATCACAGGCACTCCATCGCCATTGCATGTCTTCGACTGGATATCGCGCACATACATGTCTATCAACAGCAACAACACCATTTTGACTTTTGAGCTTTATAAAATATTGAACTGGTTAAAGAATTCTCCTTATTGTTTACCCTATGCATGCAAAATATTTCAATATTTTACAGCATGTCAATATTTATTTCTTATATCGCGCAAATTCAAAAATAATCATCAAACATTAGAACTTCATTTGCGAAAATGCAAGCTACGGTACTGCAGCTTATAACGTTACCTAACCGATTGAGTCCATGGGAGAAATGCCCGCGATGATCACCCATCACCAACACGTCCGCCAGCTGGCGCGCATGCTCAGGATGGGTTCCCACTTTCTCCATGCATCGCTGGATGAAGGAGGTCGCTTCAGCCGAAGGTACAACAATCGGTGTGGCAGCAGAAGGGGAGACGTCGGTCTGGTTGATCGTGGCCATGTTTCTGGCTGCAATTGCACGCTCCAAGTGGCAGGTTATTCTGCAACTTGACTTTCGAGTGGAAAATATCAGGTAAGGCAACCAGTATACGGGCGTCTTCATGGTGGAAAGCGTGCACTACACTAATCGTGATTTGAAAATGCCCACGAAAACCATAACGATTTTATCATAGAACGAAGAGATAAGGACAATTGGCTGATAAAATCATAAAAAGGCAACAAGACTCACTGTCGGTCAAAGTTTGGAGTCGACAGCAGCGTGGCGAGTATAAGTTGGTGCTTCCCTTTCGGCCAGCACTAACAGAGTTAGCACCCCAAAATAGGTTGCTCACTTCGTTACGCCACGGATCAGCTGTTCGCGATTTCAACAGGTTTTTCCGAAATGAAATAACTTTTTTGGTGTAAGAAACATTGTTAGGTTTCGTAAGAAAAGTAACCGTTAAAGAGGCGTTGAATCTGTAGCTCTTATGGTAATAGCCTCTTGGCTCTTGCAGACTTACAATAATACTGTATAATATATTCTGGTTTAATACTGTCATCACGTTAATACGTTTTTTGGTTTGTATATAACGCACTTTAATTTCGGGAATGTCACAGTGAGCAGTTCAACTTGGAAACGGACTAGTTAAAACAATAAAAAAATCATAGTATAAATGTCTAAAAATCATAGAGAATACCAAAACGGTATGTTACTGCCCCGTGCCCAGTAACCGGGTCAAGCCGGAAATTCGTAATACTTTTGCGACACAGCTAAATCTGGAGACTTAAGGGAGGACTGCTTTGTCGCCAAATACTACTGAGCCGGTTGGCCTTCTGGAGCGGCCGCGGGTGCTCCCATCTCGGTGGTAGTTTCCGCTGCAGGTTGTGGTGGTTGTCCTTCCGCTCCGGGTTGCGGCTGCTGACTTTCTGCTCCAGGCTGTGGTTGCTGTCCTTCAATTCCGGGTTGCGGCTGTCCAGCTCCAGGTTGTCCTTGTTGACCTTCCGATCCGGGTTGAGGCTGTTGTCCTTCCGCTCCAGGTTGTGCTTGTTGACCTTCAGTTCCAGGTTGCGGTTGCTGGCCCTCCGTGCCGGCTGGTGACTGTCCTTGTTGACCTTCCATACCGGGTTGCGCTGGTGCGGCCCCGCTGGATGTCTCCATTGATCCTGCCGACTGCTCACTGGTTGGGATCATTTCCGTGGTGGTGCCTTGGTCTTCTCCTCCATTACTAGGCTGATCGCGAATCATCTGGGTGGTCGGGGCCAGTGTGATTAAGACTGGCTGGACGGGACGGAAAACCGGGATGTTCGGTTTGAGGAGAGGTCCCGCAGGACGGACTGGCTTGGCGGGGACGACGGAGGGTTTGGCGCGAGACGGCTGCGCCACGATTTGGCCGCTTTGACTGCTTTGCGGTGGGACATAATCGGCAGGAGGCGTGTCGAACAAATCCTGGTTGGTGTATAGACGGGAATTAGCGAAGTTCTCAAACTCTTGTGACCTGTAGTAAAAGTATGTCGTTGATGCATATTCTGATTATACATAAGTACAGTACATTTACTTGTTATAGTTCTATAGTTCGTACATTTGCAGTTTTAACTTGCAAGTGTTTTCGGTTTAGTGACAATTCTTTGTTTACTATCGCATTTTTAATTTTTATACGTAATTATATTAAGCAACCCAATAGTTATTCAGTGATAAAATATTAGTATCAATAATTACATCTTGTTTCCGATCTTACCGTGGGCAGTCGACATTAAAGAAATAATCGCACACCAAGGTGATCTGGTTGAAAACCGTTGTGTTCACACAGAGGTAACTGGTGCGATTTCCGTTGATATCACATCGATGGAACACCTGACACTGGGCCTCGACATCGGCAAAGAATCCCGGTTGTGTCTTTTTGGTGCAGTCAAAGCTGGTCAGCGGTACGGCGTTGTAAGTGGGATACTGGTTGGCGAAATCCCGATTGGCCAATATAGTTTGCACTTCCTCCGCCGTTAAAGCCGGCTTCAGTAAATCCCACACGTAGGTTTGTTGCTGGCATACGGCGCAGCCCAGGACAGCTAATATAACACCAATGACTTTCATTTTCGGCGGAAATTTATATTACTGAGCCCCGGTACGTGCAGTAAAAATTATTCCGAAATTGATGTGATTGGAGACTGGTGATATACTTGTGATCGGCGCGTTGGTTTATATATGCGAGTACATTTGCCATTTCGTATGTGCTTCACTTCCGCTTTTCTGGTGTTTCGGCTAAAGAGTGTTGAGAGCGATGTAACTCATTCAAAATATCCAACTGGCAATGTCAAGGTGTTATTACGAAGATGACAGGTGTTATATCATTGCGTGCGTTATTTTCTTCTGTACATTCGCGCCGAGATGCAGACCCAGCGATGATAGTTAGTGCCTGTGGGCGCTGGATGCGACAGACATTTGGTATGCAAGTTAGATAACAGAAATCACCGACTAATAATTCTGGTGGTAATGCAGAGCAGCACCGCTCTTCAACGCTAATTATGCCCAACCACTGTAGTGACAGAATGATGAGTGCTACAAACAGCTGTATTCTGCATGTAGATGTGCTGTAGTAAACAATAACATGCTTGCTTCACTTGATTAATTAACTCACTTCTACGTTAATAATAATTATTGTGTTGTAGCAACTAGTAAGTACCTTAATTCCAGAATTTAAAGCAACAAAGTACTGTAAATATATATCAATCGGGATTTTGTAAAGTCTTTACGTCTACATTTGTGTAAAAGTATCGTCAGCTAAAGCATTTCCTACGGGAGTAAGACATCGCTAATTATCTTACTGTCTTTATCATTGATAAAACTAAAGCTTGACCAGCAAACTGAACAAAATCTCGCAGCAAAATAAAATAAGAAAACCTACTTGATATACTTAGAGATTTATTACTGATTTATGTTACCAAATTCAGTAAAATTCGTACTTACGTGCTGCCAGTGAAACTTGCTGTATAATCAACAATTATAATTAATATTTTATGATTATGACACACAAAACCCAACCTGAAATTTTTGCCACACAATTTTTTGTGCTGACATTGTCGAGGTGTACAAGGAGGCATCTTGTAAATTCCTTTTGCACACATTCCTGTTTACCAAGATACAGAGTATGAGCACTGGACAGGGGACAGACTGTGTGCTTGAAATTTTTCTCGTTTGATGTATTTGGCTCTAAACTTCTACTTATTTTGTGTCAGTATCCCCAGATTTGCAACTTTGCTTTGTGTGTTGTATTTCATTGTACAATAAATAATGTGACCGCATCAATCACCACATTCTATATTTCTGACAGAGCCTTTAAACTGAGCATGTGTTGCGTTCACTTTTGCAAGATGGGTAATGGATTGTTTATACATCGTACAGTAATTAATTCTGTTGTACACAAACCGTGACAAATGCACAGTGTGTATTGCTCACTGTGCACGCGCAGGCTGTAATCCGCATTGTGTAAAGAAAGGCCAAAGGTCACGGGCAGTGGTACACATTCAACACAGTAGCTGCTGTACAAGTCTGTTTAGTGTTTATCGTGATCAGCGCTTGAATGCTGATCCCGCGCGGCTCGCATAAACCAAGAGTAGCCACCAAACTACAAGTTTATAGAGATGTTTATCGCGCTGCTCGTGATCCAGTATTGTACGGCTACCAGCGTCATTTCTTAACTGGAACGATTACAAACGTTTTGCACGAAGTTTCAACTGTAGAATGCGTTTCAGTACGTTTGTAGTTCAAGGCATGAAGTACATTTTATTACACTCCAAACAGAAGCTTCACGCGATTTGTTTTCATAATGTTATTAGTCAGTCAGTGGTAGCTATCATTCTACAACAATTTTTACAATTGTAATTTTGTCGTTTGTGCATTCAGCACAATCATAAAACCTGAAAATGATACAACGGTGTTTAGGTAAACCTTATTTAATTTTATGCATTATTATTGTTTGGACTTTTGTAAATTTATCGGATGTGGTCGCGAGCAGCGCTCGACCGTGCTGGTGTCAAGATGAGACAAACAACGAGGAGCCGCTTTTTCAGGTACAATAATTAGCCATCAATATCAATTCCATAATGGCGCGTGGCGCCTACTGATACGGGAGCATTTTTTTGATAAGTAACCATATTAGTGCTGTACTATGTTTCGGTGCCTGTTTCCTGCATTTGTCGGTGTACAGCTGTATTCCGTACGCAATTTTCCTTCAGCTTCTTGTGCTTGTATGTTGCCAGTTTCATTTATTACGGTTTTTTCCTCTAGATTGTTGGCATAACGCCCAATCGGACGATGGCACTGCAGAATGTCGAATTATTTACAAATATTTTGAAATCCCCGATTGTTGGCAACAAGAAGATCGCCATTGTTGGAATCGTGGGAAAATATCGCGGAGGGAAATCTACGCTGTTAAATATTGTGCATCGCTATCTGCTGTGTTTGGTAGGTTCCACAGGAGCGCGAAAATGCCGGTATTAACAATTAATATGCTAATAAACTACCAGTAACTATTACTTCCGTAGGGTATGATAACTGTTGTTGAATTGTGTAAAAGACTGTAATAATAGGGTGTAATACTGTTTAATACCAAAACAATCTTGGATTTCAGTGACGTGATAAATTTGTTATAGTAACCTACAAACGAATTTCTGAATTTGGGATAATTTAAACATTTCCAATAACCATATACAAGCGATAATTTTTATACAGCCAAAAAATGTCAGCAACCAGGACATGTCAATGGACAGTTGGTTATATGAACGTGAGGATTTCCCATCGTGCCGCAACGTTTTTGGCACGGCATCGACGAGTAAAGGCTTCACGAAAGGCCTTTGGATTACTCGGCAGCCCGTCATACTTCCGGATGAGAATGGCGACGATGTTGCCGTATTCCTCATTGACACCCAGGGCATGATGGATAACATCAATAACCAGGCGGCTGAATCACCTTTGTTTTATCTGACCAGCATGCTTTCCTCCACCCTGGTATGTGCTGTAATTCATGGGAATCCTAGCGGAAACTTTGTTCGATTGCCACATCAGTTCGAACAATTTATGGTCACTTTGTTTCTTCAAATGAACTGCTTACGGAGTACGATATCGTATTTTCGATGCAAATACAGAGTAGTATAAGCTATCGGGTCAATTATTTTCTTGTAACTATATTACAAAATGTAAAGCTTAACGAACTGCACATTTATTTGAGGCTCGTCAGTGATCTTACAGTTAATTGTAAAGTGCATGTTTTCTTTTCCAGATCATCAACACAATGGGCGTTCTGGATCGGCAGTTAACGGATCTCGTGGGCAGTTTGACCTTACAAGTGACTAGTGCTATGGCCAAAGAAAATTTTGGTATAAGCGCATATATGTACTTAATTGGTAGTTTCCAAAGCGCTGACGAAATTAATGTATTTTGCATAAGCCATCGCTAAAAACAGAAATTTTATGAATTTTTATTTGTGACAATGATTACATGTCAGAGTTGGGATTTTGCAGCGGGTGCCGGAAAAATGTTACAGCAGTTGGTATTCCTTGTGCGTGATTGGGATCTGGAGCACGAATACGGATGGCATGGCGGCAAAGCATATCTACAGGTACAGGAAGTACCGCAAACGTTGACTAGTATAACATTACAAAACAATAACTGTATAAAATATGTACAGAAATTTTAGAGGGTTTTAGTGCAGAAATATGTTAAAATGGACTGTTTTAAATCGAAGGGAGAGGTTGGTGGTTAAAGAGTATAACATCAGATGTTGACATAGCATTGTTTGGTTAATGTATAGGAGTATTTTGAAATGGATCAAGAGCGATCAGCCAGCGTATCCCAAGAACTGGAGGCCGGCTACAACAATGTATCTTGCTTTTTGATGCCCAAAATTGCAGCCAGTACCAAGAACTTGAAAATCCTCCCTTCCAGTAAGCTGTTCGTTGAATACCGTAATCACAAGTATGAGACTATAAAGTGCCGCAGTTTAAAACGCAAAAAAATGTTGCAATGTGTGCTTTCAAGAAATAACGTTTCTTCATACGGATTTTTGAGTTTTTTGTTGTTAAATTGTTACAGCCATTGAACGATATATGGAAGCGCCGCTTCACTACGTTATCGACGAAATTTTACTGTCACGCAGTTCTGCTATTTTGATTTACGTACGAGTATAAGTATTCTCGCTGTACATTTATAATATACAGTATACTGTACCTAGCGAGTAAATTACAGATGGAACATATACAATACATTTAATTTTTGCAAGACTTACTAAATGCACATCATTGTGTTTGATAGTTTTAGCCGATGACTTTGGACCAGAATGTGAGTCTTTCTTGGACAATTTGTTCAAAGCACCCCATATACAACCTAAAAAAGTTTTTGGAAAGGCCGTCAAGGGTACACAATTCGTTCAACATGTGGAGGTACGTTTCGGATAAATGTATTTTCATATTCTGCTATGCATTTTACATTGCTACTACAGTACATCAGCTATTCTTAATCAGCGAACTGGAAACTGTTTCTTCTTTCCAGCTATATTCCAACATGTTTAAAAATGGCACTCTTCAATCTGTCGGCGATGTTTATTCTGTACGTAATCTGTTCGCACCATTACTATCAAAAGCCACCCAAATACTGCGGTTAATATCCGCAGTAATGTTTCCTCTGCTGAACGTCATTCAGTTTAATATTAATGTTTACGTTCGTGGCTTCGTTTAGCTCCAGTTGGATCTCATGGTGCGTGAGAGCATTGCGGCAATCGTCAACAAATACCGGGACGATATGAACGCCTTCCTCACGGATTTGGAGGAAGTGACCGATGAAGACTTGATGAACATCCACCAGTACCATTATGCACAGGGGCTAGTCGCTCTCCGCAACACGACTATACTGACGCGAAAGCAGGCGATTCTGGAGAAAGGTCTGGGCATTTACAATAAAACCACGAAGGCATTGCATGCAGAATATTCACGACAACAGCAAGAGAAACGAACCATACTCATGGTAAGACCACTCCATCCATCTACAGAGTACGTACGCACTGTACATAGCAGCATCATATAATTTGTTTTTTTTTACAATTTTACCGCAATTTTACAAGCTGGGTACCGGCTCTCAAGAATTTAAGATTTATTTAACAAGCTTAATATGGCCCACCTGGCAGGAGCGTTTGCGAGGGATAGCGCGGGCTTCAGTTGAACTGGCAAAGCAGCAGTATCGTGCTCGCATGGAAGAGGTACGGAAGATCATCCTCGATGACCGGAGTATCTGTACTTTGAATCGAGTGTCACTTCGAGTTACAATATCATGCGCAATCACTGTTGCTTGATTCTTAGGATATAGCTAAGAATTTCTACAATATTCCCGAACTGATGGAGCAGCACACCAAATGGAAAAATGCCATGAAAGAAATGTACTTGACCAACAACACCGAAATCAAGCGAAAGTCAGAGATCCACAACGAGGCAGTGTTTTTGTTCAATACGGAAACAGATCTGCTGGCTGATGATTTCGTGCGCACGATTGTCCGCGAAGAAGAAGAACTGAATAGCGCCATTATTGATGCAGAACATGAATATGTTAAAATTATGGATGAGGTACTTGTAAACCATTGCAGCAATCGAAGATGTAAGTACTTTCTGAGCCAATTTACGTGTAATAACAGAGTCTTGTGGAGTTGCCGTTACCCGAGTACGTACTGCAAGAAAAGAGCAGCAAAGCCTCGCGATCGGTGCGCAATCGGTTCCTCCAAACTCGTGTCTTAAAGTCCAAACCGGCAACTATTCCATATCACGACGAGATGTTGGACGTTCTTTTACAAAACGAATCGCGGAAGTATTTTGATGATAATTACAATAAAACGGAGTCTCTACGTGCCAGTATACCTGAGCTTACCGAAACTTTGGAACGCTTTGGCACCGCTTTACTAACAACTGGAATCCATGCCATGACCTTTTCAGGTATGTGCTAAACTCTGCTTTTGGCATGTGAACTCCAATATAATTCAAAAGTTTACAAAAAATGTGAATTTTATAGCGTACGGTGCACATTCTTATGTAATAATAAGTTGAGAAATAAAACAAATGATAAAAAAGGAAATATTATGTTTGTATAATAGGTGACCCTGTATTTACAACCGCCAGTGGTGTTATCAGCTCTCTCGCCCAGATTATTCGCATGATTGTGTTGTTAAGCAATGCGGATCGTCCCGATCCCAAGTTCCAACGGATGATACAGGAGTTTACCGTGTTGAACGATCGGTTATCCTTGGTTGAGGCCAGAATGGTGCAGTACCATACGATCTCACCCATCAAGGAGGAATACCGGGGACATCTGCAGGCCATGAGCAATATCAAGAACAAAGTGGATGCCATGATGCGTAATTCTAACAACGCCACACGCGATGAATTCCTCCGCGTCTGTGAACAGTACGCACCGGACAGTATTCTCACGTGGATGCGTGATCGAGTGTCGGGACAGTATCATAACATCCTGGGAGATTTCCTCTTTGATATCGTTCAGGTTTGATGTTCTTTTGCTTCTTCGTTGCTGATCAATCAATAAAAAATACATGTTTGATATTATATGTAATTTTCAAAAAAGGTCATTTCCAAGGGAATCAAATATTTCGGTTATTATACTGATGTTTTGTTGCACTTTCGCTGCTGAACCAACCAACAGAAAATTCTTAACGAATGAAACCATGATTTTTATAAAGGACATTTCCAATATTTCGGAAGGAAAAGTAACTGTACAGATGTTCTGTCTTTGCTCTTTCTTTACGGAATCGCAACCATGGTTTTTATAAAGGTAATTTTTAACAGGGAATCGGATACAATCGTACAGCATACGGATTATGGATGCAGAGTATCATGGCATTAGACACCCAGACCGTAATGTATCGTCTAATGTACATGCAGCTCAGCGGGAAATTCGACAACAGCACAATCGCTTTTCAAACTGAATACATGAAAACCCAAGTGCGCAGTATTTACGAAGCGCTAAAAGCCACCGATGCGCATTTAAAAGCGGCATACCCATCACAACAACTGCAGCATGATATCAAATCCCAGTTGCTAACGGCCAAATCACAGGGCCTGGGTACCAACAGCGCGGCCAAGAAGCTACAGGAGTATTTAACCACGAAATATCCCTGGGTCCACTGGATGGTGGCGCTGCATGTACAAACCTGCTACTACGATTTCTACCGCGCTGTTGCCATCAAGAACCCCCTTGACGCCATGAGCGGCGTCAAATCCGGAATGCTCTTCGTCCCGTCGGTCGGTGACTGGAACGCCCTAGTGGCCTGGAAGAGCGAACAGGATCTGCGGGCTACGCCCAACCGGGAACGGGAGATGTTCAGTCTACAGCGGGAAATTCATACCTATGCGCAGCAGGACCGCTGGGAGCCGACCGTTGTCCGGGGGATTCGGAATGCCGGGAAATTCCTGGAAGGGGTCCTGAAGGCGCATCTGGATATTGCGCGGATGAGCTGGAGTGGCGTGGCGGTGGTGAAGAAGGAGTGCGAGTTGGTGGTGGAGGCGCCGGTGAATGATCGACGCTTCTTTGCCAGTTTTACCGAGGGCTATGAGTGCACGTTCGCCAAGATGCCGTTTGTCTGTGGATGGATTGTGATGTCGGGGGAAGCGCATATTATTGTGTTTCCGGAAGCGGATCCGAATTCGGATGCGTATCTTAATGAGGAGACGAGTGTTATTATTCATCCTGCAGTAAATGTTAATTAATCGCTAAGTTCTTATTGTTAGCTTTGGTTGCCGTGAAGAGTTTTTGTCGTGATGCATATATATAGCAAAGATATGTTAAAGGGAGGGCTGTCCACAGACAGGTAAATTATGAGATAAGCAGAATTTTGTAAATAAAGTCAGACATTTTGGTACTTACATGACGGTTCCAGCGTCAGCGGAAGCGACAAATTATAAGTAATACATACAAGGTGCATAACAACAAAAAGTATAAGATTCAGTGAATTGATCCCGCATCACACATTCGTTGATGTTTAGCACACTACGACGATGGTACTTAATAAACATAAACTGTACATCTTCTTACGATTAAATATTAAGTATTCAATAGCTACAGTAGTGGTGCCATATAGTGATGCGCATTTCACGCTTTGAATTAAGGAAAATAACAAATTTTTCAAGTGAGAATTAATAATTAAATCTTGAAAAATTGAGTTGAGAATATCCATTAGAAAAGCGTCTTGAATGACGTGCTCCGCTTTGCGCCATAATTGAGTTTTTGACAGTTATTTCCGGTCTTTTGGGTATACTATCGTATGGGCGTTTGACGTTCACTTAGCACGTCTACTGTACTTTTATGAATGGTACGTATGGAAAAACTGTTCGCAGTTCTCTAATGAAACCGGTTCCAAATCCTAGCCGTATGTATGTGATTCCATTTGCAAATAATTCGTCCTCATCTATCTGTGCAAAGGCTTTCGGCACTGGGTTTGCAAAACTTCATGTCAGATGTAATCATTTTGACTACCTCTTTATGACAGTCAGGCGACCCATCATCAGAACAATTTTACACCCACGAAAATCCGTGTGCTGAAAAACAGTAATTTGCGGTGAGAATTACGCAAACCTTACCGGCGCAACAATTAAATGACGGTCAAATGTTGGACTCTTTACGCACGCACGTCTATGATACTTGGTTCTTGAGCGGATATGTCAATGTTTGACATTGAACTTCCATGAAATTTAAAGAGACCTCAAAAGAACTCACGTCGCAAGCCTATTCTCTTTGTGTAGATTAATACTTGGGGCCAAAATATAACTCCACTATAAAATGACGAGAAAATCAGCAATGAGGAGCGCAATTAACTTTGTAAACACTAAAGACATAAAACAGGAATTATTATATTTATAATACCTCCTTCGTTGCATCTGCATCTCAGCATGAAGGGATTCTGGTTATCAGCTCTATTAGCAGCGAGTATGACCTTGTACGACAAATGTCACACACTGCCAGTGACAAGCGCGAGCGATACACAGACAGCACCATACGGGGCAGATTACGGGATAAAGCTACCGCAACTACCACTTATTTTTCGTCGAAGCCGGTCATCGCGTGCAGTAGAACCGGCGTCGGATCACGGATGCTCCGGCAGCAACTGCGTCAGTTTGTGTGAAGATGACAGTGACGGTGCTACTTGTACAGAGTACTGTCAAGGAAACGGGCGTTTCACCAACGGGATCTGCGTCGGAACACCGGTGAAATGCTTTTGTCATGGTTTCCTGGTAACGATTTAGGGAACACCCCTAACCTTTCGTTTGTGAACTGCTTTTGCGCAACCAGTATTTCTAGCATGCCATATGTTTACTAGCTGGTTCTAGTATGCCAGTTTTATACTTTTATAATTTGAACACTGCCCTCATTTCGGGTTCTTTCAGACAAATAGCTGGTTCTATTATAATCGTTGTAACTGAAATTAACTGCTTCGACGTTATCTCTGTCTGCGGACACTGACTTTCAACCATATCAACGATTTCGCACACACTAAATTACTTGTTCAGTCTTTTATTTCGTTGCTGTATAAATGGCTACTTCTACCAAGTGTATGTACAGAGTACATTGGGCACGATGCAGCTGCATGTACACGAAAATTACTGCGTTCATTTTCTTCAGTTATGCGTGGTTCGACGAACAGACAGTTTTAAAGCAGTGAAAGTACTGATACACATATTCTCTACATATTCCGTGGCCGGTTTCGACACTGTGACCTTTCGCCACTGGCAGTTTAATTGTTACAACCAGGCATATCATGTGACAGTCCAGTAGAAGTACGAAGTATGCATAGAAGTATTCCGCAGTCCAGTTCAGTGTATACCAGGTCTAACACATGTGTTTCAGCTACAACATAGCTACAAAGGTACGTGTTACACTCCTATAGGGGGCAAAACTAAGCGTGTTCCACGGTTCCCCTGATTGCCACCGTCACCCGCCTGGAGTGTGACGTTACGGCAATACATATGGTTAAATCTGGCGCGGTACATAAGCGCCATGTTTAGCCACAACGTAAAACTCCAGCCGGCTGACGGCAGCAGTACAGGGGAACCGTGGAACACGTTTAGTTTTGCCCCCTATATAACCAAATTACTGCTAATGTTGAAATAACGATGTGAAGTACCATACGTATTGCTTTTATCCCTTATTTCTGAGTTTTGATTCGGTTGTAGTGACCCGCCATCTGCTACTAGTAAACATCCGCAGAGACGTCGCTGCAGTCGGTGTTCCTCGTTACTCAAAGAATGTATGCCAGATGGCAAGACATACACGTAAAAAAATTAGCGACAGCAGGGAATCGAACCCGCAACCTTTGGTTTATCAAACGGCTGCTGTACGTATGCCTTATCGGTAAACCTAATGGGACCAACGCTCTACCATTGAGCTATGTCGCTTTCATAAAATTAATACGACCAATGCTCGATATACGCGTACCATAACAAGTGAAGAAGCAATGGTCTTTCTTGCTACTACACGATGAGTAACAAACCCGAACGCAGTGAAGTGCCTGCACTTTATTACGGGCGGGCGGTTATCCACACAAACCCGATGAATTTATTTTTTCACAGCGTTCCTCTTGGTATCAAAGAAAACTAGATAAAACCAGAACAACGCATTAAGCGTTTAAGCATTAAAACTGGCATTCTGGTGTAGTGCCCGCCTCAGTGCCGCACCACCTTTCTATAATTTATAATAACTTAAGCTACGCATATACATTACTTGGGTAAAAAATCGGCGACAGCTGGGAATCGAACCCAACGACTTTTGGATCTACACATCTGCTGTACGTTTGCCTTTCTGCGGCAAACCTGCTGGGACCAACGCGCTACCACTACGCCATGTCGCCTTCATAGTAGCTACAAATTCTCCATGTGTCTGTACAATACTTTGGTGGGACGATGAGTAACATCGGATCCAAAGTCGAGCGTAAGTACTGTACACGTAGAGTCACTCTGCAGAGTGTATCTTTACATTCACATTTCACAGCAAAATAAAAACGTAAAGCCGCTCCAGTAAAACGAATTTGTCGGTGTTTAGAAAACAAATTACGAGGCTGTTCGTCAACGAAGCATACAATCATATAAGAACTTCGTAATTAGCGTAATCTAAAACAAAATTACCGTAAACATTAAAGTACCTACTTTCACTAGCTTTTCAATCGCTACGGTTTTCAGATTTTCACGCTTAAGTAAAACTAGCGGCGATGCAGAACCAGTAGCGCAAAAAAAATGCGGTCGGCAATGGTGGGTGACCATGAGGTCCTGCAAGTTGACAACTTGTCCTGAGTCGTCAACTAATTATGGATAATGCGGTTTTCGAGTGTCCACAGCCAGTTAGCACAGTTATGTTAGAACCAGCTGCATGTAAGAACTTACTTTCTGTAAGTACAGTGCTGCTTGAATTACAGTACATACCGTACTACCTTATGGCCGCTGAATTCGCGATTCCGCTTCGTTACATAAAATTTACTGAATCCCAAGGTTTTGAAAAACTACCCGGTACGTACGAGAAAACTACTCGTATTTTACACCAGATAAACTTTTTAGGTGGGGGAAATGAGACCCTGGTTAGGAGAAATACGGTTCCATGAGCATGATGTTCCTAGTAACTGTTCTGTGACAATCCGGCTAATTAGAAAATAAAGCTTCCTTAATAATATCAATCAAAGCTCACCGATATGTTGCGGACGAATGCATGATAAAATAGAATACAAGCACATACAACAGAAACTACAAAATGGTCAAAGTAACGCTTGCTTTTCCTACTTTTGTTTACGTATCACATTCTACGGGCATCACCTTCGGAACCAGGAAGTACTTACAAAGTTATTTTGTTCATTTCGGTGAAACCGACTTGGGACAGATTTTTATTACTCCAAGCGTGTTAACGTCAGCTCCAAGCGTGTTAACGTTAGCTTTCGCGGATCACTGCTTCGAAAGCAGTCTATAACCTGGAGACAGTGTATCTTCAGTACAACAGATCTACCGTAAAAGCAGATATTTGTCAAATTTTCTTACGTAACATATGCGCTTTCTGGCATCTGGACATCCTTATGGAAACCATTTACACACTCCCAGCGAATCCACTTCCCCATCAAAGGGCTGGTGATTTTCATAGATGTTCCAGAGAGTTTCTTCGAGGTTCTTAGAAGCCGGATCAATAATCACATGGTTTATGACTGGCGTGCAGTCGTTAGATAAGAACATACAGTCTTTCAATACCACAGCTTTGCAATATTCTCGGAGACCAGCTAATTGGTCTGCCAGATACTTCAGCTGCGGAGTTCCCATTTGACCCATTCCGAATTCCGATTGGCAGAACACCAGTTGCTTAACATAAGGCTGCTTGATCGTACCCATGATATTCAGTAATTCGTAATCACCTTCTGTCATTTTCTTTATAGCGATGCACTTGGTCATTGGAGTGATACACTTCAAAAGACAGTTTGTCACCGCATAAAGCGGCAACCACTCTTTCTCAACCCGAAGAAAGTTATGCTGCTGGAAAGAAACAACCATGTTCTTGCTGGTTTGCACGACTTGGTTCCACAAACTGTATGTACGACGACAGCACTGACGAGTCACGGTATCGACGTACAGGAAGACGTCACACAGTAATTCTACCGGCAGATAGTTGAAAGCCACCTGATCACGTTCCCGCTTTCGAACTGCCCGTCTGGAGCTCGAGAATAAACATCGTTCTGCATCGCTTTTGTCGATATAGACACCAGGACGTTTAGCGATGAAATCGTAGACGTCCACCTATCATAAACAGTTACTTATTAAGCTGCTCATTGGATAGAGACATGCGGCAGTTGTAAATTCACGCTTTTAAGTTACCGGGACGCATTTAAAGCTCAGTTTAACGAGCTAAATGTAAACTATCTATCATATGCTGTACTTGTATTCCTGCTACGCATCGGTCATGCAGTGCCCGCTAAAGGCGGGTGCACTTTCCTAGTTTAAAACGCTGGATGGAAAGCGAGAGCCTCACAGCGCATTCTGAGAGCATTTCTCAAAAGAGTTTTTCCTTTGCGAATAAAAGCAAATTGTAGGAAGCCGGTACAAAGCCAAACATTTGTAAATATGGCTTTGGCGAGTGCTTATAGAGTAATCGTAGCAAATCCAGCAGCCCGATAAACTTACAGTGCCTGTACTGGGCCATGAGGAACGTACCGCGGACGTATTTCTATGGTTAGAGCCTTCACATGTTGAAGGTTCCAACTCTTAAGGTTCGTAAGCGCACAGAATAATCGGTTTATTACTGTATTGTCGCACAAACGTCCTGACAGTGAAAGTCGGAACACTAACTCGAGATTAATTTTGTACTTGGTGTTGTTGTAAATGAGTATTTGTACAGTACGAACACATCGGCATCGGGATCGCTTGCGGCATCGTGCCGGCACGATTCGGATCGGAAATATTTAAAAACAACAGTCATGTGACGCAGTTCTGACCCACGGCCGATCTGACTGGCGTGCGTCTAATTTTTTTAAAAAGCTTTGGTTAACGAGATCTCCACACTGTTGGAAGGCCGCATGTATTATCGATCTTTTTCTTAATAATGTCGCATATCTGTTAAAGATACGTAAGAGTAAACGCGTTGTTTCAAAACATATTGTTATTATTTACCAACTGTTCACGTCGCAAGGGATCATGGTTTCCACACTGCAGATACACAACGACTTCACTGTGCGTCATCAGTGGTAGAATTTTATGCCTGGACTGAATGCGTTCCACGAACCAATTAGATGCCCTTGAATTCAAAGCCGACCAACTACGCGGCAATGGACAGGATCTTGTCACAAAAGTGTCTTTTTGCACCACTCGTCTTGATAATGGTGGATAGCGTATCTGCTCCAAAGGAAGCAGCTCCTGGATGGTATAATCCTTACCCAGCTGGACTTCCACAAAACCAAACGGTCCACCATAAAAGAAGTCGATTGTCTTGGCTATTAAGGTGGCAGGATACCACATCCACGGACCTGCTTGGTCCGTACGTAGCAGCACTTGCACAGCAAAGTTTGCAGGGGCGCTTGTATCGGTGTATTCGAATGGCCGCCTGCCGTAGTCTAACACGGAACTGTCGTCCGAACATTCGTAGATTTTTCCGAATTCCACCAGCTGCGACCGCTGCTGAGAACAATGAAAGTCAATGATGAGACCGTTGTCAACGACGTTGATTACCGTGCCATGTTGCAGAATCCCGGAATCGGTTAGCACGTCCACAGAATTCCATGCGAAAACGGAGGAACGCTGCTTATACTCCTTGAACAAATACATTTTTGGTCGCAAACTTGCAGTTGCAGCAGAACAATACCCAAAATTGAGATTGCGTAACGGTTACACAGAGCTGGCGCAGTTTAGCTCATCTGCTTAAATACTTTATGTATCTGCTTTTACAGTTTACCTCATCTGTAACACGAGCTTTGTCAGTTTCACAATTCCTCGTTGCAGCTACGGTAGTTGCCTACGGTCTACATATGCTGTACTTACATTACGATACATGTTTACACGTATTGTAACTGTTTGTGCGTTACTGTTATCAATTAGCACAAAATATTTCAGTGTTTCCAAAACAGCGGCTGCATTTCCTCGTACAGCTGTACGACTAAGAAACACTACATCAAGATTGCTGCCGATCGAGGCTCGCCGGTAGCGCTGCGGATTTTCCTGCCTGCACGGTCATCTCCGCGAAAGCCGCCCCTAATGTCCCGAGTATCTCGAGTCTCTCGATTGCTACTCTAGTAGCAGATAAAATAGGGATCCCGATTTCTCCTGAAAAGCGTATCTCCGGCGTTTACAGTCTTTCGCCAATTTGCTCCAAGACCATTGTCCTTCGTGGGCCGGTATCAGCATCGTCCCATCTGGCCCTTTGTCACGGCGACTTGAAAGGTCTTGACGGTTAGCTCTGGCATGAACGGAAGCAATCAGTTTGCGTATGTGAGAATCGATTTAGGTTAAACGACTAAGAACTGTGCTTTTTAACAAAAAAATACTCGCACTTTGAAATCATTAACGTCATTCACGGCATCGCACATCCATTCCTTTAATTTATTTGATCCTATTCACGGCATGTGCTGATACACGAGAAAAAAGTCAACGACAAATCAATCTGAAAAACAATTATCGCAGTATTGATGAACTTCTGAACTCTTACAGTTAATTTCCTGTTATCCTTCTTCATTCAAAAAAGCAAAGCTGGATGAATTATTACGTAAGTATCCAGAACTATATAAGTATACGTATACGGTATATGTATATAAAATATGATAATTACATATCATGCTTAACACATGCTCTTGATACTGACCACGAATAAGTACAAAATTTACGTACGAGTATTGTACAGCACGAAGAGATCAGGCAATATTATATTAGCGAAAGGATCCTTCAAAATTTGTCCTGCTCAGCCTGCAGACTGCTTCACGTTAGTTGCTGACGGATAAATGTTGGCAAAAAAGTCAAACAGGAACAAATTTGAGAAGTGGCCGACCGCTAAGCCTGTAGTGCTTTCGCTACTATTGTATGCTCACTTTTAAGCTCGATGAAACGTACTCTACTTTACGCAGGAGATCTAATCATGCACAGAACTATAGAATTCTTTTGCTTTTCTTACTCATCACTCATTATATTTATAAAAACCAGATCGTCCCCACTGACTTCGACGGCATTCCATCGGGTGCCGTTTCGGTGCGGTACATAATAAGTACCCCGTCTGATGTCATCAATGTAGACTTTGACTTCCGCTCCAGATGTTGCTAGATACATCAGCGGATACGCGACGGGCTTGGCAGAACGCACGTAGTACCGATACGTTCCCGGCAGCTGATGCAGCAGTGTCATCGTTATTCGTCGACATGTATCATTAGCATGGCAGGTTACGCACGAGGCCAGTGTTTCGAGTAGTCCGGGACTATCACTGCCGTACACTTCGGGACCGACGATCTTTCCCAAAAGGTCACTTTCCATTCTTTCCCATTCCAGTACAAACCGTACGACATGTGGGACGAATACGTAACGAAGTACTATAGTGAAAGTGATGTTCCGACTTGGCAGCACAACCACCGACACACAGTTCGTCGTAAATCCCGATTTAGTTGCGCATGCAGTGTAATGACCTGTTGGTAGCATAACCGTCCAAAGTCCGTTTGCGGTGACAATGTTGTTAATTGGTTCACTGCTATAACTGGCCAGGCCGTAACGTAAGGTCACGGAGGCGTTTTCCACCGGCAGGTTTGAATTGCTTATGACGCGAACGCAGGCACAGCCAAAACCGTTCAAGCTAAACCGTCGATGGATCAAAGGAATGTCTGGCAGATCCATTGTATCATTGTGTAATCCCGTAAGCTGAACATCGTTTATCGTCAGAGGGTGGTATCTGGGATGTTGAAGAGTTAGAGAGCACAGGGAACCCGCTGCTGCATGGAACAGGAGTTTTCCGTTCTTGTCGGTGACGAACGGTAAACGGTATGGTGGATCGGGAATGCTGACGACCGTTGCAGATCCAATGACGTCTGGCAAAGTTTGCTGGGCGTCGGCATCGCAGACATGTCCTTGCACTAATAAACGTACGGGTGCTAAACTGGAGTGTTGGATATCTGCAGATTTTCAGTGTCGCGTGATTTTCAGTAATACTTGTAATTACTTTGATCTTTTGAATATGGCAAAGGATACTTACCAAACAACCATGATTCCATTGTCGATAATTTTGCCGATTGATGTATTTCAAACGCTAGGATCGTCAGGGCCGTCTAAAAAATCCGCATGACCTTTATCACTTGGTGTGCAATCTTTCTTGTTAAGTTACCAAACTTGGGACTAAGACTTTTCGGTACCTTACCAGTGCTGTTAACAGTATCAAAAAAATAACAAGTCCAGAAAACGTTAACAATCGCGACTGTGAGCAATACTTGAAACATTTTTGGCTTAAAGAGGAAACAAATTTTCCCATGTAGTTTACTTCAGCGTATTCATGATGGAGCGAGGAGTTTCGTGTACTGTCGATGGACTACTGCAACCACACATAAAAATACTGTTCGACCTTGCACTCCACCAAATATTTCGTATTACTGAAAGATAGTCAACTGACCTCATACTCTCCGTATTCCGGATTGTTAATAATATCCACAATATCTGACATCCTGAGTGTAAGTTTTTAAATATTAATGCCGTTTAAGTAATTCAACGGTTTCGACGAAGTGATTCACTCATATCTCTTTCGTGCAATCGGTTAACTCAAAATGATTCCGTCTGGTTCTATTTATGAGATCACATCGGTACTTATTGAAAGTGGGTCGGTACGTACATACCAAGTGCCAGCTCGGCAGCGGGTGCGCCATAGCAGTGTCGCAGTTTTAGTTTCTTTGTCCTTTACTGAGACACTTGCAAACGATTTAACGCCGTTGCAAATCAGAAAATATGCGGTATGGAATCTTTTAAACTACTTACGCCTGCTCGGCCCACAATACTCGGTCTTACAGAACACACATGTGCAGAGTTTACAGACATTAGTCCATTACATGACGATGCCTTCCCGACTGTTGCCGGGTAAACTGTTGGGATTAAAGTCCACTGAGATAACGCAAAACAACCATTGCCGTGGTAGCAGATGAACTGCCATGACGATAACTATGAACGCGACGTGAAGTTATCTATGTGGAGCGAGCTGGCATCTATGTCAGAGTGCTGTGCCGAAATGAAAAGCAAGTCGGGACTTGCTTTTCATTTCGGATAACGTTTTCAAAGTTGTGTGTGTGGCCTATTTAATAGGGCAAATCACAGTTGTTGCGCTTATCTCAATGGACTCTGATCCCAACAGTCAAACCGTCAACAGTCGGGAAGGAATCTTGATGTAATAGACTAATATTATGGAATACAACAGTCTTACCGATTTGCTAGAGTACGAATCGCTTCTAAAATGTGAGACAGTGGACGCCCTTCATTACGTAATCAATGAATTACCTAGTCCTAATATTCTACTGTGTACCCAATGTTACAGATATAATGTCATATTTTACAGTTTTGATGCAAAGATCGAAGCTAGCCGGTCGTCCCAGTAACCATCAGATAGTAATTTGGTGGAAAGTACTGTATATAAAAACTGTCTGTGCTTTCTCTGGTGCTGGTTATTTAAGTACTCGTACGGAAAAAAAACTTATGCAAAAAACAAAGCACTACCCGCTCAGATGACTAATTTGCTTTGCCGGTTTTCTTTGCGTTCCGATCCGGGCCGCGTGGCCATTTAGTTCGTTTAATTTATACGAGCGGGTAAAGGAATCCAGTAAAATGGGTGCCAGGGTGCCTTAGATTTCCATACTATTGTGGTTACTGACTGTTTCCGATGTTAAATTCTTGGGCACGCCTGAGGCCGTGGCTCACGAACTTTTGTGACGTATAGATACTTTTGCATCACACACTATAATTAAAAAAAACGATTGAAAAGGAAAAAAAGACTTATAAAACGACTTTAAAATGTCTTTAAAAATGATTGAGTTGCAGCACTGCCATACAATGCAGCATCAGGCGCGCAAACATGCCGTGTGCGTGTTTTAAACAATAAATTTTAAGCAATTAAACACGTTAAAATCGCTTATACGGTATTTACCTGTCTTCGTATGCATTACGCAGAGCTTTTATTAATGATCATAATTACCACGATCGCAACATTGACTCGCAAGAGTTTGTTATCTGATTCCGAATAGTAGCAATTTTAGTATCAATTAACTTGTAATAATATATTACTTTATATAGAAAGTGGCACACAGTCGGCATTCGTTAAAACTAAGTGTACAATACATGCACACGGTTAATGTTCAAGTTGACCAAGCACTCGAGGGAGCTGTTAAAAATTTTTGACTGTTTCCTGTAGAAGTATTATGATGTATTGTAATTACGCTTGCGGCTCTTGTAATTATGGTAGCGTTGTTCTGTAAGAGCTGTCGTAAATACTCTCAAATGATCCGGCGACGTTTTAGAATACTGAACCCAGGTGGAAAGATGCAGCAAAAAAGTCATGCACCTCTTCATATACCAGCAAAATATAGCAGCTTAACAAACTGCCACCTCTTCGATTGTCCGCGGGGCATATGACGCGTCAGACGGTGGCGAAGATTTTAGTATCGTTGGATTTTTCTTTTGTCCGTTTCGTCCAGATCACAGATTAATTCTTTGTTGCGGCGAGATTATGATTCTGCGTGGATGATCAATTGATATTTCTAATTAATTTGTATAGTATCCTGTCACATTCCTGTGTATACATAAAATTGATTTACTTTTAATTTGTCTTATTAGCAAAGTGATCAACGTTTCGCTAACACTGTTGTTGTCGATGGACTGATCCAAAAAGCCGGCTTTATCAGAATCATCGAACAGCGTCAGGTAGCGCTGGCCTTTTTGTCAAAGGGATTTGGACCAGGGATTTCAAAAAGTTATGGTTGAATGATATCATTAGTATCACGGAAGACGGACAAATTAAATATACGTGACCGCTAATTAGATTCCGTTCAACATAATATTATTATCTGCTTTTTTTTGGCTGAAAATGCGGCTGTGGCACTTCCCGTCGTCGGCCAAAAGGGCCGCTGATAGCGCTGTACCAGGATGGTTTTTTTATTGTTGCGCAAAATTATTGTTATTATTGGCTGGCTTGACAGACTCCACGGTTCGTTATTATGGGGCCTACCAAAATTTTGGGACGGTGAGCGATAAAGTTTACATCAGTATCTGCTACGTACCGACTTTTGCTGGTTGTTCTAACCCAGTTACACATGTTTTCAATTTAATTGTAAACATTGCATTTGAGGTTATAACTGAATTTTTTTGCACCGTTTCGAACATTTTTTATAAAATTTATGGCTGCAAAGAAGTCGTATCATTGTTTTGTGGTTCGTTTTTTATGCATCGATGTATGATATTGTGAAATTCATAATTCATCAAAATTTAAAAAATTGTTAAAACTTTAAATGCACTTAAAATTTAAAAAAATCTTCTTTTGTGTGTATGACGACTGATATATTGTTGCAGGGTGATACAGTAATCGCGGTACTGCAAAGTCACGGTGGGCCAAATGATTGGCGGAGTCGTTGGCACATCGAGTGCATGGACGGTACGCTGCTGGGTAGACGCGTATTTCATTCACTTTCACCACAATTTAATATCGTAATTATTCGTCACATAATTGTTCCACATTAGCGTACGTAAAGAAGAATAAATAAGTGTGCTAAATCAATTAATATGATAAATTTTTGCGCAGGGGAAGCAATGTGGGGTATTCAGTAAGTACGTCTCCGATCCGGTATCTTAACCAGCAAGCGATGCATGTCTATCTGAAGGTCTCAGTCTTTGGTGTTACTTTAAAAAGCTAATATATGTTTTGTTTTTTAGTGACCTTACGGATGACTTCCAGGTAATTTTGTAAATGGTATACGAAGAGTACGATGTTCCGATCGTTCTTGCTGAATTCGCTTTTTATGCTGTATTATAAATATCTATATAGTTTTTCCTGTTTTAATAACTGTACTCGTATGTTTTTGTCGCACTCCCTGCCACGTATGCAGCTGCTTACTACAACACTATCTGGGCTATCGTATAAAGCTGTTTTGGTTAGTTAATCAGCAACCACAATTTTGTTTTGCAGAGGTTATGGTTTATTTGGTGCAAATTTATGTTCCCCTACAAGCCACCATCCAATGGCCTGTACCCTTATTATCCCAGGTGCAGTACAGCTGCTCATTACGCACAAGTATTTCTACACAGAGCTTAAAATCCCTCCGTTAACTTTAAATGTATCAATTATTGTAATTGTTACGTACAATACCTTTTGCGTGCTCATAGTTTCGCGCGAGACTACACAGAATAAAAATTATTCGCTTACAGAATCATTAGAGCACGGTTTAATGTACAGTTGTTGTTACAGCTGCCACACGCGCAACATCACCATGGAATTCTTTTGTTACGATCCGCGGGATAACGTGGCCACACTCAACAGCTTCGTTACCGGTAGACCCACCCATGCATAAACTATGGAGTCGGTGAAGATAATCTTATCATGTATTAGGTTGGTGGGATAACGAATACCAGTTCCGTGTTGACCGCGTGAAAGACGACCGTACCTCCACGCTAAAATGCTGCAAAACCCCGACCGGCTACTACATTGATTATACTTCCTGCTTGTACAAATCGACACACGACCAGTTCTACGAATACTACGATGGGTTATACTTTGTCGTGCTGTGTGACACCGGATATGTAATGACCGGCACGGCTGTAAAAATACACCCGACGGTGGGCGAGTATTACATCGACTGGATCCAGTGCTGCCGGTTGGGATTCCTTGCCGGACCATCCATGATACCTATTATGCCCATCCCGCCCCGGACACTGTCCGGGCCACGGCTGCCTCAATCAGCAACACTCTTAGCCCGGACTCTCGCAGACCTTAACGAGTAAGCATCATGTGCAAAACGAACTTATTAAATTATAATTACGGCCGACAACTGCCTGCTAGTAATTACCGACATTATTCGCCGTCAGTGTAAGTTTTATCAACCTTACTGATTACGCATTCATACACCTGTAATTCAGAGTTATTATACCGGTAGTTTTCACACCAGGTATTAACGATACGTTGACAGTTGATGCTGTTATATTCAGAGATCAAACATCGAGTAATTGCATTTCGCCGGCAGCTACGCGTTCAAGCGCGCGGCGTGCACGGGCAGAACACTTGCGGTACAAATTCACAGTCAGTGTGATTATGTGAATGGGCTACCCGACTTACGATACCTGCTCTACTCCGATACAAAATAACGCAGTTAAACAACCCGCATTGTGGTTCGTTTAGTCTTAGATCGGCACGTAAGCGTTGTTAAGGGATTTCTTTAATTAAATGCGTTTATTCGGCAATATCAATCAAAGCAGCCAAGAAAGTTTTGCACTGCATAAAAGAATTTCAACCTTTAAAAAAGCAGCATTTTCAAGAGACACTGTCAAATACAGCGGTAGAGTATTTTTAACAACTTCCTAATTAATTTAGCACACTTCCGGCTAACATGACCATTCCACCGAGTTACTACCGCATCCCGGACACCCACCCCATTCTGGCTGATGTCCCGGACTATACACAAGAATACATGGGGCGTTATATCAAAGGTGATGTCAGTGCCCGTATCAACATGCTGACCAAGCGGATGAAGCAGACCGCAGTGGGCAGCGGTACTCATCTCAACCAGCATCTCCAGCATGTCGGTGATGTACCCAAGCCCAACAATGACCATAAACTGTGATCGGCTTTACCGGCTGGCGCTGCCTAATTCGTTGTTTGCAAAATTGTTGTTTGGCGTAGATATCTGTACGTGTAAAAAATTAATGGTTGTGACAAGTGACAGTATTTCCGCACGGGGTTGAAATTTTCACGTCGATGTGTTTTTGCATAACACATTTGCTTAACGGGTCATCACAGACCTATCGATATCGAGGCCTGCTCCATACAAATTTATTCATGAGTCTCGCAGCATGCAAGCTGTGAAGTGATTGTGAACTCTGGCTGCAATGGAGAGGGTAAATTTGAATTAACTGTAAGCAAAGACTGGTTTCTATTTTGTGAACTTCAGGGTTACCTTTTGGTGCATCTTAATAGTTTTAAAGTTGATCTTGATGCGGCAGTTATACGCTGGAAACACGATAAAATGCCTCAAAAATAAGCGCGATCGTAAAAAATGCCACAGTCAAACGCATAAAAGACTGTCAAAAAGCGAGTGAAGGATATAATTAATGTGAAGTAAAGAACTGCATGCTCATTGTCGCGAAGCTCACATAACAGAAGAACGGCAAATGCTCCCTGGGGCACATCAGACAGGCGTGTTGTACAAACGGTGCATATGGCAATAAAAGTACCCATTAACAAGGTTTGTTTGGTTATTTGGCAATACGGCCTCATGCCGGTGCATAGGGGCATTAACCGGCGTGGTGTCGTTGACTTAGGACGGGAAGCTCCAAATTTTAATTGGGTCCTCAAGGCGCATACTAAACGATAGCCGGTAGGTGGACTTGCTCTCCAGTCGGCAGCCGGTCCATAGGATTCATGTCGTCGCAGTCGGAAGCGGTTTCAGTTGAAGTTTGTTATGGCAGCTACCGTGTGGACGCTACATGAATGAGCGGCTTTTCAACAGCATGATGTGTTTAGGATTTGTAATTAATTTTGTTATTTGTTGCGGTACTTGCGATCGGGCGCGGCCAAGCCGCTCCTTTCGGACGTTTCCGCGCAAATGCAGTTCTGCTTAATGTTTCTTCTGAGTCATTCCGCTGTCCACAGCCGTTATTTTATAACAATATCTTCCAACACCATGATTGTTCAAACTCTATTACTGCACTTGGAGAAATCATAGCTGGCAACGGGGCAGTACAGTATACCGCTAATTAGATGTCGATCTTTTTAATGGGGGCACTGAATTCGCGTCTGTTTATGGCAGCTTCTGCTTTTGTCCACCCTCAAACATTTTCGCAGTGCTTTGTATAGCATTCTGCGCTCAAATGATTTGTACACGTCTGTGCCGGACCCGTTCGTACGCGCAACTTCCGGTTCTTTAGATTTTCGAATGTATTGAATGAAAATTTTAGCCGATGTGTGGTGCACTAAACGTCAGGTTGTTATCCGAATATTGTCATAAAACTATACAAAAAGACATACATAGTTTTGTTTGAGAAACTGGGGGTGCCCCGAAAGCGAAAGTTCACAAGGATGGGCACGAAGTACCATGCACCGCGCACTTTCCTTTGATAAAAATTGCTAATTTGTCTGAGCATTTTTCAAGCGCCCTTTTAAATGCCGTAAGAATTTCGAAATCTCACAAGCAGTTCACATAGACACAACAACTAAAAAATAACATTAACACAGAAACTCGTAAATGTACGCCGATTTCGCATTTCCAGGTACGAAGTCCGCAGCGCGCTCAGACTGATCTTTTTTCTTCTTGTACGCTGACCCATGGGTAAATTTTTATGAAAAAAATTATAAGGTTGGTGGCGTAAAAAGTAAGGTACAGCACGTGGAGAGAGGAACAAATGTAGCACTCCCCCACAAAATAATTAACCTTATCCGCAGCCTGCGTACGTGCAGGGTTTTACTGCGCAGATTCTGAGTATGCAAATGACTAATAAGTACGTACCGCGTCCTCGGTACTCGGTACGTGCAGGACTTGGGGCTTCGTTTCTTCAACGGATTATTAAGTAGTCCCCGATTAAGTATTAAGTAGTCCCGGCAACCCATACGAGAGGCAGGGACGAAGATTGTTAAGACTAGGAAAGTGCACCGCTGTTAGCAATCACTAAAAGACCGAAGCGAAGCGGGAAACAAAATTAAATACACATTAGGGAGGGAGTTTATCTTGTTTTTAAATTTCCTGTTTTCGTTTATTATTTTTTGTGTTCATTAAATACAGTTTTCAACATTATTTCCGTCTTATAAATTTAATTTAAAATGTGAAGGCGTGACCGACATGACCGATGTGACCGACGTGACCGACAAAAGCCCCGTTTTCTTGAACATAGAGGACCTTCGCTTCGCTTCGGTCGAAAAACAGGAATGTCGGACAAAATCTGTAATTTCAGAAAGGTCACGGGCTGCATCTGATGGCCTTATAATTACGCGGCGACACCAGATGTATCTGTAAGCTGGTTGTGGTTGTTCCGCCGATTCTCAGAACATTTTGATTCTAGCGCATTGACTGACGTAAAACTGCCAAAATGTCCAAATTTTTCAATCGAACTGCCGGAAATTATTTCTTTGTAAAGCCGATGTATTTTGTCGCGGCAAACTGGGATACCACACAATCGTGGACGGCGGGTACTTGCGCGTTTTCTGCTTTGCTGAACAGTCTTCTTTTATGCGTATTGATTAGCCAAAAGAGTCAATAGACATCGTTTAGCGTTTATATCCTGGTTTTAACAACAAGTAACGTTTTGTACGGATTCCTTTATAGTTCGGTATCGCTGGTAATCAAAGATTTACTTCCGATCTATCTGCTGTCCTCTTTCTGCATTACACATCTGATGTTGCGTTTACCTGTCGGCTTCGTGTTGCCAGCTTGTCATATGCTCATGTGTCTAAATAGAATTTGTTCCATTGTGTCATTTTTTTTATAAACGATACCATACGAAAAAGTTCGCCTGGACATTAAATTTAGTACTTGTGTTCGTTTGTATCGTATTTGCAGTGCCTGGTGTAATCCTTGATGCCCGTTATTACCGTGCACCCTTCGCTAACAACAAGTGCTCTATATCATTTCGCACGCGAGACATGCAAGACTGGGTGCTGGTGTTCGGATCCGTGTTTTACTATCTTCCCGAGGTCGTGGTGATCTTGAGTTATCCAGTGTTTATATACTGGAGACATAAGCGCAACAATATAATGTCCATCCGCGGTGGATTGCCAGCCACAAAACGGAAGAAAATGAGACATCCAAAGCTGGGGAAATGGTGCGTATCCAGCGCCACCGTGGTCGAGGTCACGGTCATTTTTGGTGTTAACGATGTTGACAGCCAGCATCGTAATTTGGTGGACGCCGGCTAATGTGTTTTATCTCAGCGGCTCCCAAATTCCGAATATAATCTTGGCTATCAACCTGCTGAAATTGTCTACTAGACCCGATACTACTGACGTCATCAATGGGAAATCTTAGAAATGCTGTCATTAAATTTTTCGTTGATTGTGCGCAGTTTGGCAAAAGGATAGAATGCTGCTGTTTCTAACACCACATTATTTAAATACAACATTTTGAACGAGAAAGTATGAAGTACATTGTTAACGCATGAGACATGAGCCTTTCCATTATGCCTACAGACGAATCTGCGCAATTTGTTGCTTTTTAATTTCATGGAAAAAGCAGTTCGAGATTATAAAACGGTTTGTTTACTTTTGACAGTAACCTGCTTGCCGCATGCTTGAATTGCTAACTTACTGTTAGCCCTGCCCCTTATAGTAGCAGGAAGTTGATACGAGTATACCTCAGTGAAGCTAGGTTAATTATTTTTCTAAGTTTCACTTATGAAATTTATGGAAGTATGTCTCTTCGAGTTTTGCATTGATTTAATTATTTTTCCATCGCTGATTATTCTGCGCAATTTGCGCTGGATCTACTCTGTAATAGAGAGTAAACTACTTCGGAACGTTTCCCACCGGAACTTTACATAAGCGCGTGGATTGATTAGGAATAAATACGGAAAAAACTTGAAATGTTTTGAATGTGTCTCTTTGCGACTCCAAAGGGATTCGGCAACTGAATAAACAGGATTGGCAAACCTTTAATAACTTTCAACCTTGTCGCGTTAGAGGATAGAGAGACGCAAAAGCTGAGCGCAGATAGAATCATGCTGAGTCTTGCTGACCTTTCAGTCCAAGAAAATCTTTCTGACCTTTCGGTTACACGCTGGATACTTAACTAAAGCTCCTTCGGAACGTTTCCTACTGAAGACTTACGAAGGCGCGTAGATTGATTAAAAATAAAAGCGGAAAAACATTTGAAATTACGTAATCTGCGTCCCTTGCAACTCCAAAGGGAATCTGACAGAGAAACGGCAACTGAACAGGCAGGATCAGGATAACCTTTAACTTTCCAACTTTCCCCGTCAAATGTCAGACAGACGCAAAAGCTGAGTGCAGGGAGAATGATTCTGATCTTTCAATTAGAGACTGACCTTTCAGTTACACGCTGGATCCTATAATAATATATTAATATTATATATTCATATAAAATATAATAATAATATTATAATAATATTATATATAATTCATTATATATATGTATGAATTATATATATATATATATATATATATATATATATATATATATATATATATATATATATATATATATATATATATATATATATATATATATAATAGACCTAATATAATATATATATATATATATAATAGACCTTTATTTCTGCTATGCTAACAAAAAAAATGTAAAATATAACGTTACGCTGTAGCGGCTGCAAGCATCTGCCGTAAAGAGTGCTTAGCTACTTGAGTAGTACTAGTAGTAATTTAGTAGTAATTTTACAGTTGTGTTCTTAATACGAAGCATTATCAGCGTCAGCTGTATTGCGTTTGCTGTATTGTTTGTTGCGTCAGCTGTATTTTTATGGGATTGTGGACAGTATCAAGACGGCAGTGATCGATGGGTTACTGCCTACTGGGTAACTGGACACCGTTCAATCAGTGCCGCTCTTAAAAAGACAGGCTACTGGCGTAGCTGTAAAGGCCTGACCGTGACTGACACTTTCTGAGCTGATCCGGAGACGGGGAAAGGAAACAGAAAGAACGCAGCTTCCAGTTTCATATGTCACACTGTCAGGACTGCCAGTCAGGCTTTGTCAGCTGCTACGCCAGTTTGTAGACTGCACTACTGTAGCCAAGAGCCAACACAACAGGCATCCTGTGGTTACTGTAAGTACTTATCAACTGAATTCAGAATCCCTGAAAAATGGAAATGGAAATTTAGAGATGGGCATCGGATAAGATTTCATTATGACCGTATCCTATCCGACACTTTTTTAAATATCCTTATCCGAAATTTTTCTTTTTCCTTATAACTATCATATCCGACACCCGGATATCCTGATAATTATAACTGGATAATTGTTCGAAAAGACGATTTTTAATGTT